GGGTGAGGATCAGGCCTTTAACATGGAGACATTTGTCAGTAGCTTGTTCATGGAACTGAATAAAGACCCTTCTGAAATACAATCATCCCTCTGAGTACAACCTGAGCTTGGCCTCCCTTCTTATCAGTGATAATTATGAATATTTACCCAATCAACTACTACCCATACATTTAATATTTGATCTCTAAGCAAAATATATTGCATTGATTTTTTTCAATATACCAGCCAGAACAGTACCATTTGAAATTAAGTGCCTAATAAATGTTTTCAGAAGGTAGTGATAATGTATTCTACAGTAGTGCACATTAAATTTTTAAGGTCTAAACATAATGCATTAAAAAGTACCTAGATTGTATTTAAGAAGTGTTATTAACAACGTGAGAGCCAATACTATGTTAACATTTGGTGTGATGACATGATAGGCACAGGGAAATAAGGCTATAAAAAATGCATTCAAAAAGTGTGTATGGAAATAAGTCATTGTGATTACTCTTCAGGGATATTATCAATCATTCCAGGAAAAAAATACAAATGCTATTTCTGGTTCACTAGCATTTTTCTGAGCCTTCATTGAGTAAATACACCCTTCTGTTGCTTTAAAATAGCAAGCATTAAACGGGGAAAATGCAGTAGGAAGAAGGAAAGGCATGGGATATTTATTTACAGTTCCTCTAAAATACCAGGAAAGTCTTGAGTAGTTCTAATGCATTAAGACAGGCTGATATGTTAGAAGATATTACTAACAAGTCTTTGGAAATTATGCAGTTATCTGGAGTGGTAAGGTTATAATTCCCTAATTACAATTATGGGACATAGTAGGCCAAATGCAGGGGTAAGGTCCTTCACATAAACACAGAATTCTCTCTGAGGCATTTAGGCTTCTAGTTGGCAGTGATGTGCAGTCACTCCAAGCCCCCTCCCTCCTCATTGGAGGAGCTGTGCTCCCATTATAGATAGAATGTATCAGCATTTTCACTTTTTCAGCCTCCCTTGCAGCTAGGGCACAATCATGCATCTCACTCCGGAATGCTGGGCTCAAGGGTAGTCTGCTGGAGACTCTTGGAAAGGTGTCCACTGCTACTGAAAGGAAAATAATGTACACAAAACAAATTCCTTTTTGTTCTCTGCCTTTGTATGAGCTTTTTTCATGATGTATACAGGCCTGATCTTGTGGTCACACAAGGATGAGTCTTCACAGTACACTGAGGATAACCAAGGGGAAAAGGAAGTGGGGAGAAGACAAGCATCTTGATATTTTTGAATTATTGAGCACATCCTAGAAAAGGCTACCTTCAGACTTTCTGTTGTGGATGAAAATTTAAACCCCTATTCTTTAATTGGGCTATTGTGTTCCTCGCAAGCAGCAGTATCCTAAGAAAAGTGAGGAGAGAATTTTTATTCAAACAGAATGACTCTTGTATTGGTTAAGATTATTTAAAGGAATAGGAATAGAATAGGATGGATAGAGAGATAGATAGATAGATAGATAGATAGATAGATAGATAGATAGATAGAGATAGAGATAGAGATATATTCAAAAGCAGGAAAATCCACAATGACTGCTGGTGAGCTGAAGAGTTGGAAGGACCAGTAGCTTCTCAGTCGAAGAAGTAAAGGACACGAAACAAGAGAGATCAAAAACACAGCACCAGTCCAAGACTGAAGGCTGGAAGCTCCCTGGAGAATTACTAGTGTGACTCTGTACTGGAAAGCTGAAAGCACTGGTCTGATGTCCACAGGTGATAGATCCTCCTGCTCAAGCGGAATGAAGCTTTTCAAATACATGCTGACTTCCTTATTCTTTACATTTTATTCCAGCCTATTGGATAGTACCACCCACAATCAGGGTGGGTTTTCTCCCCTCAGTTTGCTACCCTGTATGTCAGTCACCTATAAACACATCCAAAAGTGTGCTTAACTAATCTGCACGGTATTTCTTGTTCCAGTCAAGCTGACATCTCATGATTACCAGTTACAATTCATTCCTTGTCAACTTGACAACCAGACACATCTCCTTAAACTATACTTAATCTCTGCATAAAGACAATAGCAAGTTTGTAACTCCATTTGACACAATAGAATTATACTAAATTTAACTGGAAAAGTTTTAATTGCTTCCCCAGAATAGGAAGCAAATTTTCTTCAGGTGATATTTACTCTTCTCTTGACATTACATAATTTATAATATACATTTAACAACACTTCATACTGAGATTATGTCCATCAATGTTATGTTACATGAGGTAGGAATACAAAGAAAGAAAACAAAGATACAACATAACACAAGTTTACTTTCCTCAGACAGAGATGGAGAGGACAACACCATAGATGTCTCCACCACTGAGAATGAAGAAATCTCTTCCCTCTGGCAAAAATAATCTCATCAGAATTTAGAAGTTCAATATCTCCAGTCTTTTCTGGTTCCTTCCAAACATCTCCATCCCAATTTACAAGATTTCATTCTTTTCAGATCAGTGCCTGCCTTAGTTACTTTTCTCATTTCTGAGACAAAATATCCAATGCACCAAATTAAGGGAAGAATTTAGCTCAGGGTTTGTGGAGGTTTCACACTGTTATCTGCTGGCTCCAAGACAGGGCAGCACATGGCAGAAGGGCAACCGTTCACGATGGCAGAAGTCAATAAAACCAGCAAGAACAAAACAGGACACAAGCCTCTTTTTCCTGCTTTTTATCTTATCGAGACTGTTGGGATTAGGGTGGTGCCAGTCCAAACAGTGTATTGATTCAGCAATCCTCAGCCTTAATCCCAGTACCTTTAACCCCAGCATTGTACTATGAATCAGTCACAAGCTCTAGATTTAGCTATATCCAAAAAAGCCATGATTGCATGAGGCTTTGGGGGGACGTCTACATATAAACCATGACATTGCTCTCACTTTAACAGCTGTAAGACATATGGCTACAGAGGATGCCAGCCAGGCTAGAAGAAACTACCACGTATCAGAACAAAGAGTCTATGGCAAAGAAATTGTGAAGTCTTCTTTGAAAAAAAAACCTCATCTTGATTTCAGAGAGAAAACAAGAGGGACAATGTCTAAAAGAAGCGAAGACTCTTTTTTTCTAGACTTGTGTTACTAGCCAACATCTGTGAAGTGTAACTGTTAAATCTGCTGCTTGTACGACCGACATGTCAGTACCATGCAGATAAGAGTAGGTAAGACGGGCAAAGGAAGCAGAGATGGCAGATACAAGCCCTTTTTTTCTAGAAAAGGAGAAGTTGTAGCAACTGGTCAAGGAAGTGGGGTCATTGAAGGTTAGTTTTGGTTTTATTTTCTAAGATGGGAGAAATTTAAATATATTTCTATGTTACAGAGAAGTCAACAGAAAAGAAGTATTTGAAAATGCATAGATGGGAAAGGGCCATGAGGGATGGAGGATACTGAAGAACCCAGGCATGGGAGGGAGATGAACCTGGGACACAGGGAAGGAATCTCTCTTGGAGCCTGGAGGAAGGAAGAAAATGTGCAGAGGCCTGTGTCCATCAGCACTGATAAGGGACAGTGTGGTAATAACCCTCATGACCTCTGGGGCTCACAAGAAAGACTTAGTCTCACTCACGCTGCGTGTATAAGGCTGATAGGTTCCAACTCAGTTCCATGATGGTCATCTGTCTGGGCTTAGGTATCTGGATCAGGGAAAAGAGGAAAAGAAAACCACACACCAGCTCTTAATGTTGCCCCAGGCAGTGAGGCTCATCACATCCTCTCAGTGCATGTTTCATGGCTAAGGCAACTCAGGGCTATCTGAATTCAATAAAACAGGGAAGTGGAACAGAGCTTGGCCTTGCATATGGGAGAACAACGCATACTTTTGGACGTGATAAAAGTGGCTCCTTCATTCATTCAATAAATGCTTAACAACAAAAAAACACTAAATACTTGCCAAGCCCCTACTATTTGCCTGGCACGACTTTCCTCAGAGAACAGACAGAATGCTGTTCTCATTAGGCACAACAGTGTCGGAGTTTACCTCGTGGCTTTGGTTTTTTACTGGCACTGGAAATTACATCATCTGCTGGGACAGAGGGACTCACGGAGGAAGGAGTTTTAGGACAGACATAAATATTTCAAATGACTACTGAGCAAAATGGGAAGGGAGGCTGAATCCAGGGAATAAAGGATTGTGGATGGCATGACATGTTTTGCTATGCCTAGGTGCTGCTCCACAGCAACAGCAAGAAAAAAAAAAGAATAGGACCTGGGCACTAGAGCACTAGAGGGCCGAGACAGGATGGAATGACGAAATGAAGGTGCAGGGTCCAGGTTAGGTGGTAAGGAAGAATCAAGTGATAGGACAAATGCTGCACCAGAGACAAAGGTTTTGAGAGCAAAGGTTACGTGTGGTGAGAAGGCAGTCAGTGGCTTTAAGAAGCAGGAGGTTTTGAACAAAGAACACAGTGTTGAGGTTAAGGTTTCACAAGTGCAGCAGGGCTTAGTCCAGAGGCACGGAGGGCCACAGACTGAGAGAGGACAGGCTGGTCTCCATCCAAGCCTCCAAATTTGTCTCCAGAGTCAAGAGTTACTACCACACTCAATTTTATTTTGATCTCACAATCGAATGCTGAGTTGATGAGGAATCATGAATCACCTCTGTCATTCTAGCTCCCCCTACTACAGATCCCCATCCTGTCTTAGCTGCCGTGAAAAGGAATGGAGAATAATAGAGTATTTCTTTTGAAGTCCTCGGTGCTTCTTTGTAGTGTTCATGTGCCAGAGGTTTCTACATTCATCTTGAATTGAATCATATTGGGATGATTCCTGCTCTCTCCTCAATAGCAGGGATTTTCAGGCTCTTTTTTTGCACTGAGGCATTGTAAACATTCAGCATATTCAAGGACAGCTTTTCTCTGATCAAGTTAAAATGCTGCTCATCACCAAAGCATGTGAAGTAAGAAGGTAACAATAAAACGTGCAAAAGGAAACCGAAGAAATCAAGCAGGGAGAAGCGGTGGAACTTTTAAAATCATTTCAAGAAGAAAGATCTTTTTAGTCCAGTTTTATTGAGATAGAACTCACATATAATTCAGCGACTTCATACAATTCAATGGATGTCAACGTATGTATACGATTATATGATTACATTTCCAACACCCCAAAAAGTCCCTGCATATCCACTTTCCAGTCAGTCTGCTTCCCCTAAACTCAGTCTCTGATGACTACTGACCTATTCTCTCACAGTAGTTCTGCTTTTCCTGGAATTTTACATAAAATTTTATAAATATGATACAGCACGTGGTGTTTCGCAGAGAGCTTCTTCAGGAAAGCCAGTCATACGTGAAGGATATGAACGTGACTTAGGCACTTGGGAAAGGCAAGGAAAACAGGGAGGTTTCCCAGGGTAAGTTTCTACTTCCTTTGGCTTATCCTAACTACAACTGCCTAGGAAAAATCAGGTTCTGTTACATTTTTCTAACACTCACTAATAATACACAAGCATTAAAATTAAAAACATGTATCTGGGTACTGCTAGTATTCATTTTATACAGAATTAGTGATTAATGTCTCTCATTTAGGAAAAACACTAAATTAAAAAGATCTTGACCTTTTTAACTCTTAAAGAGTTTATTCTCTTAGTTATTGATCTGATTCATTGGCAAAATTTACAATGACAACTAAATGCCCACACCTAATATCATAATGCAGTTACCTTACCTTGGGTTTTTTCTGCCTTTATTTTCCATTTTATTTGGTTGGCATTAAAATTTTTTTAGATACACTGGGGAAAAGAAACACAACTAATAGAAAATCAAGACTTTCCATCCATATACATTGAAGGATATGGGATTTGCAAAGAATTTAACGCCAGGTAGATGATCATGTAACCCAGTGTATCAAGAGAGTAAAGCCCAGAGAGACTTTGGAGATGCCACAGAAAGGGCATGTTATAGATTAAGAACTGGTGGTCAACTTAACACCAGCTGGATTACATCAGCATGGCACTTAGCAAAGATGCTCCACCTGAGGAAAGTTGCCAGCATAAATAGATGGAGAAGGAGAAGGAGGTTGTTGAGGCATTTAAGCGTTTGTGTTTGTTGCATGAAGGCATTGTGGGTTCTCCCACGAGTTGCTGTTTGAGCTGTTGGTTCTCCTGGAGAAGCTTTGGTCCCTCACATCAAGCATTGCTGTCTGGCTCTGGAGAGGAAGACGTGTGCCGCTTGGTCTCCAGGATGAACTCCTCATGCTGGCTTCCTGGCATGTACCCGACTGTACTTGTCGTTGGAGGAGCTCGGGCCTCCATGTCGCTGAGGACAACTGTGGTGCTTTTCAGGATAGCCCTGGTCTTTGCTGTGTGACTTCTCGGCTCCAGCATAGAACCCTCAACCTGCCAGCACAGCTCCTTCAACCTGCTGGCATGAACTTTCTGGCTTCCACCACTGACCTTTGGGCCTTCCCGGCACGGATCCGTAAGAGACTGTTATGAGTCCTTCTTGGAGGCTCTAGACCTCCAAGTTGGACTCGTGGGAGGCATTGTCTTGAGCTCTGGGTTTTTATCTGGACTCATGTAGGACATTGCTGTGGGATTTAGGCCCTTGACTAAATATTCTATGTCTTTGGTGTTGTGGATAGATTTCCTGCATTTTCTTGTGTTAACGCCCAGTGACCATTAAAAAATAGTATTAAAAAAATCCATGTCCTGATTCTACTTGTTCTCCACACAACCCCTAACTACAATAGGGCACAAGAACACCTTGCAGTCGAATGTCCATGGGCCACCTGCACTCATTCCTTCTGCACACCAGTTACTGTTATCCCAGACTGTCTGTAGTTTTAGACCAAGACCGGCAGCTGTGGTTGAAGAGGGCTACACGGACCCGATCATAGAGACTGCACTGAAAAACCACTGGAGTCATGAAGGCCTCCCTATTTCTATAGACCAGGCCTTTTCTCAGGAAATCACGACACTGGAAGGTCCCCCGAGGGCCTTGGAAATGCACATAAGAAAAAAATCTAAGTTTAATTTTTAAAAGCTTTTACATGTGACTTTTGACAGCTGTCGCTAGCTGGCAAATGCAGAGATCTGAAAGGGAGTTGGACAGGACCATTATTGGGGCAGGAGGTTGAGTTCTATGCCTGCTTTTCCAGTGTTTCTTTCTACCTAGGCAAGATCACAGCAGACAGGAGCAGGAGGCAACTGGGAAACAGCACAGTGCGGCAGAGGCTCCTCTGGCAGTGTGTGGCAGGCAGCAGCAGAGCCGTAAATCCACTTTTCTATCATTCAAGTTGCAGCTTTTTTCACACGACTGAGGCCCAGTTTGCTGCACTTGATTGGCCAGTGGCAGGAATGATAAAAAAAAAACTCCAGGGCTTTGAATGAAGTGAGCAGGTCCATTTGAATCCATGTATTAGCTATTTCCTATGATGTTGTGGTGATGTGTGAGGAACAGTCTCTCAGCTCTTTTACCTGCTACAAGATAAAAACACTAAATCTAGCTCTTACATTGTATCTCAGGAGAGGTCATTTCAAAGTGAAATCTTGGTATTGTATTTGGTGACAATTTCATAGTTCTAAATTCCAGTTAATTCAAAACTGGGGCCTGGCATAAGCATGTAGTTACTTTAAAATGTGCCTGGATTTAACTCAGCAGTGTGAGCACTGATCCCTGGTACCAAGAAAAGAAAAAGTGCCTAACTTTACCTTTGGCAAATGTGATTTTTCCATTGTAACACATTTTTCTGTTAATTAGCTTTTCATTGCTGTGATGAAATATCTGAGACAATCAACCCTGAAGGTTTATTTTGGCTGTTTCACAGGATTCAGTCCATGGTCACTTGGTCCTGTCACCTTAGATGTGTAGTTGCACAGGACATCATAACTGAAGCACGTGGCACATAAGGCCACTTACCTTAGGGTGGCCAGCAAGGGGGAAATGGAGAGAAAAAAGGGGCTGGGGTCCCAATATCCCACAGTGAACTAATTTCTTCCAGCTAGGCTCCACCTCTTAAAGGTTCCAGTATCTCCCAACATCACCTCAGGCTGGCATTCAAGTCTTTGGCACATAACAACTTTAAGGAGGACATTTAAGATCCAAACTCTAACAACTGCATGCCATCTTCTCCTCTGGAGATTGCTGTTGGGGACTGAAGTCGACAGGAATTTATTCCTGCATTTAAGAAGCAATGTTAGTACATGTGCAACGCTGACATTTTTTACTTGCACTGATAGTTAAGCTTTTTCATTTCAAAACCACAAATTCAACTCAAAGATTACAGGATTATAAACTGCCTTTTAAAAATGCTACCGCAAACAAAGCCCACTTTGTAATCAGAATCCCACTTTTATTTCTTTATGAAACATCATAGAACAATGGTCACTTGTAGATACATGGATTCCAGAAAATCAAACAAATAAGAATTTATCATGTAATTAAAGTAGGTTATGTAAAGTTTAAATGAAGAAAGAAAAAACCCCACCCAATTAAGAGAGGCAAAAAGGAACTTTTCTCCTTGGAATTGTGCTGCTTAAACTCATACAACAAAATCTTCCAAAATCGAATTTTTAAAAACATCCTAATGATTTAAATGTTTCCACTGGAACAATTTTCCCTATAAATCAGGATCAACCAAACCTACAAGAAAAACAAAACCTCTTGTTTCAAAGCTGGTTGCTGGAAACAATTCCAAATATATTAGTATGCACCACCTTGGTGAGTGCTGAGGGTCTCTACCAGTTACATATTTGTCCCGGAATAGATATTGTCAGAAAAAGGGGAGAATGTGTACCAACTTCAAGACATAGTCTAGAACTAAGTGAGCAGTTCTAATCGCAACACACAGGTCCCACCAACCCCGCCCACCAGAAAAAAAACGAGACTTCTCACTGAAGGACAGGCTATAAAGCTACAACCGTTTTCATTAAATAGCTTTTTCCCCGTTTCTTGCGTCTGGCAAGAACCTAAATCTCCTTTTTTTTTCTTACACTAATAAACATGCAATGGGAAACTGCACAAAAAGGCAACCTTGCCTGAGAACTGGGGCCAAGCCTGTTGGCGCATACCCATATTCCTGGCGCTCTAGGAGGCTGAGGCAGGATAACAAGTCCCAGCAAGTGGAAATAAGACCTTATCTGAAAACTGCGCAAGTCTATGGATGGTCTCACAGTACCCACATAAGGTCACCGGATGTCACCTTGAGAGCCGCCAAGTGTGTCCTAGGATTTAATGGCAGCTAGGATAGTCAGTTTCTCACCCTACCAGCCTTGGGCAGCGGTTGCCTTTTACTTCGCAGCACATTTGATTCGTTCTGGTCTTGTCCTCTCAGTGCCTATGAGCACCGAAATTAGCCTCAGCCTTTTGATGCAGACAGTTTTCTCCAAGAAAATCAAAACATCCTTCAAAGGATTAAAGGACTGAGCCTTGGATGGAGCTGGGGTCAGCGCAGTCCACGCGTCAGTTTAAGGATGGGCGGGATGTCTCAGCCTTGCGAGGCAGGCAGCACACGCCTGCAATCTTAACACTCTGGGAGGCTGAGGCGGGAGGATCAAAAACCCTAGCTCAGTGTGGGCCGTGGCGCCGAACCTGCCTGCCTCAAAATTTAAAATTCTTTAGCGGCTGGGGAGGTGGTGGCTCCGTACGAAGATCTGGGTTGGAACCTCAGGAGCACAAAACATAAAAAATAACGGGGCGCCCGCACCTCCGTACACTCCGCGGTTCCTCGGATGTTTAAGAGCGGTGAGAATGAGGAGCACCACCGGGACGGGGCCCGCAGACTCCATCCAGGATCCTGGAGGGAGACAAAAGCAACAGGACCGGGCGGGGGGGGGGGACGCGGAAGGCCCTGGGGCGGGGCAGCCACCTCTTGGGGCCCGGCGACCCGGGAACGCCCCTGGCCCCAGCCCCCGCGCAAGCCGAGCCGCCGAGCGGAGCGCGCGCCGGGTCACGCACAGCCCCCGGCTTCGGGCCGGGCGTCCCCGAGCCAGCGCGTGCCTCACGTCCTCCCGCCACCGCCCCGCCCCCTGGCGCTGCGCACGCGCGGCTTCGCCCCGCCCCCTGTGCCCCGGTGGGCGGGCGGGGAGCTCCATGACCACGAGCCGGAGCCGCCGCCGCCGCCGCCTCCGCCGCGTCACGGCCCGGGGCCCGCCCTCCTGGGCCCCTCCCCGCGCTCCGTTTTCCCCTCTCCCTCCGCCTCCTCCTCCTCACACCGAGCACTTAAGCAACGGAGCGCGGTGAAGCCCATTTTTCTCCTTCGCAGCCGCGCCGGGGAAGCTCGCTGCGCACGGCCCCTCCACTCTGGCCCGAGATGAACGCTGCGGCAGAAACCGAGTTCAACATCCTCCTGGCCACCGACTCCTACAAGGTAGACCTCGCGGCGGGGACGGGCGCGGGGCGCAGCGGGGAAGAGCGCGGGGCTAGGCGGCCAGGGCCGGTGTCGCGGCCCCGCGGGCGGGCAGGCTGGCGCGCGGCGAGATGGGCAGGTGGAGCGCGCCGCCGCGGGACGGAGGAGGAGAGAGGGCTGGCGCGGAGGAGCGGCACGGCCCGGGCGGGGCGGGGCCTGCGCGCAGGCCGGGGGGCGCGGCGCGGCGCGGCGCGGCGGGCCGGCGTGGCCGCCGGCGGGGAAGTGCGGCCCGCGGCCGAGGAGGAGCGGAGTCCCCCGCCGTCCCGCGCGCCCTGGGCTGCCAGGTGAGGCCCCCCCCCCACGCCGCCGGCAGGTGAGAGGGTCCCACCCGGAGCCACCGCGCCCCCGGGCCGCGACCCCCGCGTGGAGGACACATGTCTGTCCCCGAAGTCGCGCTGGAGCCTCAATCCCACACCTCCAGCCTGCATCGCTAACTCCTTCGCACCTAGGGATTCCTCCTGCTCCTGAGCCCTGGTCTCGTAAGCCAGTGTGCTCTGAACTCCCAAAGGAGAGGTCACTACGGGATTTCTGAGAAAAGGAAAATGAAACACGAGGAGGTAGAGGAACTTGAGTTCTTAGCCGTGGAGAACTTGCAGGGAGAGAAATGACACAACACGGCTTTCATCTGCCCATTGGACGCCTGCATTTGTAGCTGCTGCATAAATTTTATTTGAAAGGTATACACATTAAAGTAGGGAAGAGTGGAGGAAAGCTAGCCAATGTTCTCCCCTCTAGTTTCCAAATTATATGAAATAAACTGGACTGTAGTTTGGCGAAGTTTTGTGAGCTAAGGTGTTTAAGTGCTGGAATGTCAGATTAGAACCCTACTTGAAAGAAGTATGTTTTAAGTTTAAATACTAGTGTTTATGTTAGCAATGTAGTACTTTGGAATTTGGTGATGATGCACATATTCCCACGTGTTTTTTGTTTCAGCTCTTTAGTCTTTGTTTTTAATTCTCCAGTAGCTTGAGAAAGCATTTTAGAGACTTTCTCCTATGCCCACTAGAAGTGGACCCTAGGGCCTTTGCCCCATCCACATGGATATTCTCCACGCTTTTTGTTTTTTTAATTTATTCCTGAAGTGCCCAGGTTGGGTTTACATTGGAATCTCCTGCTTCAGCTTCCCGGGAGGGTTGGTATTCAGATTAAATCCTTTGGTTTGGGGAGAGAGTGGTTTGAGGTAGGGTCTTGCCTTGTACTTTAGGCTGACCTTGAACTCATTATTTAGCCCAAACTGGCCTGAAACTGATCCTCCTGCCTTAGCCTAACAAGTGCTGGGGTTACAAGCATCTGCCCCACCTCGTGCTTAATTAAATTCTGTTTAGTCCATTTCTTTGTAGTGGGTTTAAAATTACTGTGCTTTCATGAGTTTCTTTTAAATAGAGCAGAGTCATCAAAAAGTGCTGTTATAAAAGAAATTTTAAAGTAGAATTCTACACTGCTGGGCTTGGTGGCACACACATTAATCCCAGCACTTGAGAGGCTGAGGCAGGAAAAGCACCATGAATCTGAAGCTAGCCTGGGCTATTTGAGTGAATTGAGGCCAGCCCATACTACATAGTGAGAACCCTGTCTTTAAAAAAGAAAAGTAAAGAAAGAAATCTACAGTTACAAGATTAAAGATTCTTACAACATCAAGTAGGGTTGTTCACTTGACTCTGACACTCTCTGCTTGTATTCTTTTCCTTCAGTTACTATTGAGTGTTTTCATTGTCACTAATAGTGATTTTTAGAATGGTCTCATTCATAGTTTTGTAGAATTTCTTTCCTTAAACTAAATGCTTACTTTTCAGAGTTTGTTTTTTGACACAGGATCCCACTCTGCAGTTCAGGATGGCCTTGAACTCATGTAGCCCAGGCTGGCCTCAGTGACAGCCACCCAAGTGCTGGAATTACAGGTATGCACCACCATGCCCACTGATTTCAGGGTTTTTTTTTTTAACCTAATAGCAAACTGCAAGGTGTGGTGGCAAATGCCAAGTAATCCCAGGACTGGGAGGTTGAGGCATGAAGATCTGTGAGAGTTTGAGGCCTTCCTGGGCTATGTAATGAGTTCAGGGTCAGCCTGACTTGCATAGCAAGACCCCATCTCAAAACTTCCCCCCCAAAACAAATATTAGGCAATGAAATAGTTTGACTGTAGATGGAAAATATAAACAGATGAAGTCTCAACATTTTTTTTAAAAGGAGTGCAATTCTTCTAACCATTATAGGTAAAGAATGCAAAATTGCTGCAACTTGAGGTTTTAGGATGCTTTAGTTAGAATAGTGAATTGCTTTAAAGTTTACTAATCAAGCAGGTTATATTTACCTACAGTGCTATAATTTGTACCATCTATTTGTTAAAGGTACTTGGGGTTGGACCACATGTGCTAGTCAGAGCTACGACGCTTTTCCTCAGGTTGACCTGAAGCTTGCCATCCTCCTGCCTCAGTCTCCCAAGTAACTGTGATTGCAGATGTGTTCCACCACGGCTAGCTGCTTAAGTAAATTTTATTCTGTCCATTTTAAAGTCAAGCTAGCATATTTTATCCCCTATCATACATGAACTCTGTTCTGAGGATTTTTGTCTGAGTAATAGCTTTTGTTTTGTTCCTCCAAAACTCAAGAGAATTCCATTAAGGTAAATTGTTTTCTACCACTGAGTTACAGTAGACCCTACATACCGCAGAAACGTTTAATCTTCTATTTTCCTTGTATTGTTAGTAGGCCTTTTAGCCCATTTTCTGTTCGTGCCTTTTTAACTTAGGTGAAGAAGAGCCAAAAATGATCATCATAAGGTCACAAGTAATGCAACTATTTTTGAAAGTTATGTAAAAATGTTACATGTCCATTATTAATTCTTGGCCAGTTAAAGTAGGAAATCATTAGCTAAATGTAGATTTCTTCCTAACCTGAAGGGAGAATAATTGATGGCCTGTGTACCACAGTGTCCTGCAAGTAGATAACAGTCGTGGCCAAGTATATGGCAACCTATGGGAATTGCGGTGTGTTTTGTTTTGTTTTGTTTTTCTTGTATCCTCAAGTAAATCCAGGACAACTTTGGCCAGGAAAGGAGTATTTGAAATATGTAATCACTTCTGAAATATTATACTTAATTATATGTAATAAGAAAGTATACAAGTGTGGTTTTTCAGTTTTCATGCCAGGTTCTGTTTTACAAATAAAAAATACATAATCATAAATCCTTCATCTTTTATTAATCGCTTGTGTTTCCAGAAAAGCTTAAAGCAAAATTATCTCCTGGGTTGTATTTATAATGTACTAACCCAGCTAGGGAAAGATGCATTTGGACAGTCATGGCTGTTACAGTGCTTATATGGCATTTGGAACTTTTTTGTTAAGGAGGTCATTTTTTTCACTTACTTCTGCAGTAGCCATTGATCGGTTTCAGATTCTTTTCTGGTTTTTTCCCCACTTTGTTTATAACCAACTGTGGTTACATATTCTGAAGCAGTACATAGTTTAAATCACATTACGCATTACTATGAAATACGCTGTCCAGCATAACTTGCTTCTCAAAGGACCATTTATAAGCTAATAATCCTAGAATTCAGCACATTTTTAACCTTCATTTAATAAACACTGGAGTCTCTTTGGATATTGTTTAAAAAAAAAAGACAGTACTTTACAAATGTTGATTTTTTTTTTAAGAGAAGCTTAAAAGAACTATATAACATTTTTGATTATGAAGTGTTTTAAGAGATTTTGCTTCCTCTTATGGCTGAACAACAAATCTTAGAAAGCTAAGCTTTTTTGAGGATAAGATTTGGAGAGAGATGAAAATCATATGGGCAAGTTAGTGTTGCCTGCAACTTTAGCTTCCCAGTGTCTTCCCCTTAGCTGTTCCCTTTTTTCACAGTGGTACATGCCTCTCCCTCACTCTGTTGAGTGGACACAAAAGTACTCGCACCATGGCTTCTGTGGCAGCTGGACCTCATGAAGAAGAGGGCCCTGCTGCATGAGGGGAGGCTACAGACAACTATATAGGTAGATTAAGTTAAGAAACTTAATAATTGTACAAGATGGGGCTGGGGATTTAGCTCAGCGGCATAAGCGCCTGCCTTGCAAGCAGGCAGTCGTGAGTTCGATCCCTGGTACCGATAAAAAGGAAAAAGAAAAAAAATAATAATTGTACAAGATCTTGAAAAAAAATACCGGAAGCTGTGTCCTCTAAACTTTGGTTTGAAAGTGTGGCAAAAGAGGTAAAGTTACTAGAAAGTTTATACCAGGTTTAAGGTAGGAGGTGATACATGATTATATATAAGTGGTTTTGGAATTTTTCTCTCCCCAAGTAAAACAGTCAGAAAGTCTTTAAGCCACATTTATGCAGTGATCGATGCTTCAAAGCCAAATTGCAACGTTTTATTTTCAGGGTCAGCAGATAGATGTCCAGGCCTTGAAGAGGCACAGAACCTTAGCCCTGCTATAAGGCTAGCAAGCATCCTCTGGATGCCCTGCTCGTGTGCAGATAACATAACTTGCTCTGTGGCCTTGGATAGGTTACCCATCCATACACATTGGATTTTAAAATGTTGGCTCTTATTTCTTAGCAGTTAAGACTGTAACTTAAAAGATAGGTTAGTAGTAGCTGCCTATAGTCATGTGGTCCCACTGTGTAAAGATCAGATCACCGTTATAGAACACATAGAGAAAATTGGACCTTCCTCTCCCATAAAGATTGTATTCAGTGTAAATATATTTCATATTCCTCGACTGTCATATTTGGAACAAGGATATTAAGCTTTGGGAATACAGTTTTTTTGATACAATTGTTGGCCAACACTCCATAGTGGAAAAAAATTGCCCTCTGTTGTAAACTTAAGGCTAGGGCTGGGGATTTTGCTCAGTGGCTCAAGCACTTGCCTGCTAAGTGTGAGGTTGTGAGTTCGATCCCTGGTACCAAAAAACAAAACAAAAAAGTAAACTTCAAGCTAGAAACTTTTTCTTCTAGCCATTGAGATGAGACCAGTTATTTAGTATATAGTAATTTTTAGGTCTTGTCATTAGGTATCTCAATCACATAGCAGATTAAATTCTGTTAAGATCTACATTCTCCTGTGTGCCTGTGTTCCTTACCCCACACATAATGTGTAAGTGTTGCCGGTTTGCTGCAGGAGGACCATCCCAGTTTAGGAAATCATTTTTAATGATAAGGTTGGCTGGGGGGTATTATCAGATATTTTGTCTTTTTGTCTATATCTAGTAAAGAATCTTGTGTTTATTATAGACTCATTTTCTTTAGTGATAGAAGTCAGGCAGCACTAAAAAATTGAGTTCCCTTTTTGTACTCACTGTTCTGAGTACTATGAATTATCTTACTAGTACCATACTACTTAAAGCAGTACTCTTGATTTCCCCATCCATTCATCCCACCGTTTTTCCCATCTTAATAGACAGCACCATTGTTAATTCAGTTGCTCACTCCAAAAATCTAGGAAGTATCCTTCATTATTTCCCATCATGATTTGCCTTATCCAGTCCTTCAATCTATGCTGTTCTCCTTTTCTTCCAGAAAGACAGTGTCAGTCTGACAGCTAGCCTAGTGTTGGTAAGTGGCCACTTCTGTTTCTGCTCTGATTATCCCGTACTCCATTCTTGAGCTGAGAGGCTCCTGAGTGGTGGAGTGTCTGCCTAGCATGTGTGAGGCTCTTGCTTCCATCTCCAACATGGAAGGAAAGAAAAGAAAAAGACACAGGATCTTACCTAATCTCTACTCGCTGCCAGGCTGGTCTTTTTGAAACAGGAATCAGAGCAGAGGTGTAGCTTATTGTTAGAGCATGTGCTTAGCATGCGAGACCTGTGTTCATTTCCCAGCATCAGAAAAAAAAAAAACCTAAGTTATGTATTCACCCCAGCTTGGAGCATAATGGCTGTCCATTGCACTTGATGTAAAATTAAAGCTCCTAGATAGACGTGGGAGCGTACACCCATGGTTCCAGCTACTTGGAAGAGTGAGACTGGAGGATTACAAATTTAAGGCCAGGTTGGTAAACAGGGAAGTACTGTGTCTCAAAGCTTTTTTTATAAATGGTTTGGAAATACAGCTCAGTAACAGAGCACTTGCCTAGCATAATCAGGGTCCTGGGCTCAATTCCAGTACCAAAAGAACCAAAGTTCTGCGAGGCTTAGGATCATATCCCTGCCTCCTTCTGACTTTCCTATGTGTTATCCCTTTCTCACAACCCTCGTTACCCTATGACAGTTAGGACCATGTTAGCCTGTTTTACTTTCCCTGGCATCTGAAACATACTGATATCTGAGACATAGTAGGTACAAGGTATGTATTTGTGTATAAGCTGTCTGTAAGGAAACTAATCAAGTGTATGTCTTCCCAATTTACCATGAAATTTCAGAGTGGCCAGTTTAGCAGTTGAAGATTCAGAGTGATAATTTAACAGAAAATTAAAAGAGGAGAATAGTAAACTGGCAAAACCAGAGTGATCTATTAACTGTGCTAGAACAGTATGAATTTAAGTTTAATAAATTTGATGATAGGTTGAGCATGGTGACACATGCCTATAATCCCAGCACCTGGGAGGCTGAGGCAGGAGGATCTCTGAAGAGTTTCAGGCCAGTCCGGCTACATAGTGAGTTCAAGGCCAGCCTGAACTGCATTGTGAAATCCTGTCTCAAAAAGACAAAAACTTAAAACTTAACGGTAAAAAACATTTTCCCTTTGTGAAAATGCCCATATAAATAGGCCTAAAGACACCGTCTATTCTTTTATCAACTACTTGCATCTTAATGGTTGGTGAATTATAGGCAATTTAAATTCTTACTTCTCTCAAACAGTTCTCTTAAGTTTCTTTTAAGATTTTAGGACATCTTTTCTAATTAAGCAACCTAGACATTTTTGTATTTTAATATTTATTTCTAAAGAGGCATTCTGACTACATAGCAAAGGTGAATTTTAAAGTATTTAAAAAGTTTAGGGCCGGGGATTTAGCTCAGCGGTATAAGTGCCTGCCTTGCAAGCACGCAGTTGAAAGTTAATCCTCAGTACCAAAAAAAGTAGTCTAAGTAAGCTTTAGAATTGTAAACATTTGTAATGATTGTTCAGAACTGGAACTATATTTCTATAATGGGAAGTTTTTACTATACTTTTAGACCTTGATGGTACAAAATAACTGGAAGTGTTTCCACTGAGCTTTTAACTGGTATTCTTAGAAAAGAAAAATAATTGATTTGCTCTAATACTTTTAAATGTAATAGATACTATAAAGAACATCAGAATTACAGTATTGAGAAACAACTGTGAATTTGCGTTTTACAAGCCTATGTTAAATGGTCCATATTTCTTTCAAATTTTACTTTTATTCTCAGTGACCTTTTTTCTACCCCACTGCTTAATCTAATGAAAGGAACTGGTTATTAGTATAAGCTAGACTTTTTCGTTTTTACATACATCTTGGGTATAATTTTAGGTGGAAGTTCTATTTTTCTAATTAGTTTAATTTATAACATTACTTGAATAACTTGAAATAGCATAAATACTTTTTTGCATTTTAGTAAATTGACTAATAGGTTTAATTGCTGCATATTAATTGTCACTTAGCTTATAGAGAGGGCAGGGGAGGGGAAACCTTGAGCTACATCCCCAGCCCCCTCCCTTTTTTTTGAGGCAGAGTCTTGCAAAATTGTCTAGGCTGGGGTAGAACACTTGATCCTCCTGCCTCATCCTCAGCATACTTGGATTACAGCATGTGCCACCATGCCCAGCTCACTTAGCTACTTAAATCTCTTTAAACCTACAGTGATATTAGGTCATGGTATTTAATATTTAAAAGCTTTGATATAAGCTGGGCATGATGGCACACACCTGTATTCCCAGCAGTTAGCAGGCTGAGGCAGAAGAGTCACTGATTTCAAGCCCAGCCTGAACTACATAGTGAGACTATGTCTTTAAAAAAAACAAATCTGATATATATGTCTAGTTTGCTGAGGCCTTTCTGCCTTTTAGATATCTGTGGTGCCTGGGCTCTGCCTGGTCAGTAGCTGTAGAAATTGACCCCCATGCTGGCCCGGGTGCAGCCCCAGCCAGCTGCAAGGATGCTAAACCGAAGAAGGAGCAGAGGCCGGCCATTCGGAAAATCAGCCGAAGTATGTTCATTGTAGAGCTCTTGTGTTAAGCTATGAAGATTCTCGAGGTAGAGCCAAATTTTATTGGGATTTTTTTGCAACCAAAGAGGAAAAAGTTTATGTTGGTAGTGGCTTCGCATGAAACTCTGCAAAAGTTTGCTGTACCATTGCCAGATTCACCCTGTACTTTAAGCCTTATGGTTGTTAATTCGCATTCTTTCAGCTAAGCAGATACACAGTGGCCTTGTAGTTAATTAGTAAAATGATTGTAAAAATACTGAAATAAAATTCAAGTTATAATACTTGTCAACAAAAACAAATAAATTTTCAACAGTGACCCTTACTCAACCTCTTGTATTTTTAAACTCATAAAGATTTGATGTTATACTGTATAGGAATTTGTTTTCCAACTAGGAGGTAATGGGTGCATAAGAAAGATTACAGAAGTTTTTATTTGTTTCCATTATTTTTACTGCTGCCGTTGCTTTCGTACAGTAGTGTTACTGTGAGGCTGGGGGGATGAGCTTCTGTACCTCGCACAAGTGAGTGGTCCAGAGAAGTCACTGGCTACTACTGACACACCGTGTTCACCTGGGAACATTGGACTCAGCCCTCTAACCCAGAACCCCAAAGTGCTCCAAAAGTCGGAACTGTTGAGCCATGGCCATGACATCATGAAGAGAAAATTCTGCAACTGCCCTCATGTGACAGTTTGTAGCCAAATAGGGGACACTCACAATACTATATAAGGTTACCTTCAGGCTGTGTGTATAAAGTGTTTCATTTATGAAAAGTAATTGAATTGTGTGTTTATACGTGGATCCTAGCTCCAAGATATCTCAAAAGTATTTGTGAATATTGTCAGGTCTCCAATGTACCTCTGTCCCAAGCATTTCAGACAAAGGATGCAAACACATGACCTGTCCGAACCTGCTAGCTATCATTTTCTTCTTTCTTACGGGTTATGGGCCACAGGCAACTGCTTGTCTCTTCTGAGTCAAAGGCTGTTCCCCAAGACCAGTTTACAGGCCTTATTTGCAAATTCAGTGAGTCTCCTGTGGTTTTGATTTTAAGATACTGAACTAGTAAAATCTCAATAAAATACATACTTTTTTCCTATGTATCCAAGAAAAGACGCCCATCATTAGGCAGTACCAAATACAGCATCTCTGGTTCTGAAATCACTTCAGCCTTTTGGGCTGTGATTTAGAGTCTGCTCGTCTGGTGTTTCCCAGCTAAAGTCCTTCTCTTCACCTAGGTCACGCACTACAAACAGTACCCTCCCAACACAAGCAAAGTTTATTCCTACTTCGAATGCCGTGAAAAGAAGACAGAAAACTCCAAAGTAAGGAAGGTGAAATACGAGGAAACAGTATTTTATGGGTTGCAGTACATTCTTAATAAATACTTAAAAGGTATTACTTTTCCTAGTACATTTAAAATTCTGTCTGCTTTTGTATAACTTCATACTTTTTTTCTCACATTGTTGTATTCTGTTACTCGAAGTGACTGGAGTAGTCCCCTTTTGATGTCATGTTACTTTAAGTCAGTAATGGCGAACTTTACACTTTCAGTGAAGCAAACAGCCCGCTATGGACTTGTGAGCCAAAGGTTTACCCCACTGCTCTAGCTACTTTAAGGGTCCTTTCAGAAACTTCTTAAAATCAGTGAATTTGAACACATTAAACCTTAGAATTTGGTGTTCGTGGTTGGTATCCTGAGAAGGGTATTCTGAAACTGGTTTTAAGAATTTGTTATTGACCTAGAAACTCATTTTGAATTATGGAAGAAATTGTAACTAGTATAGTTTTTACTTATCTGTTTTACCAGAAAACCCAATAATTTGAGTATTTATTTGAAAAGCCATTTTTAGTCTATTTCATAATGATGCTTTTAGGAGAGAACTGTTCCCAGTGTACCCTCCTTTTTTTTCTGGTGGCACTGGGGATTGAACTCAGGGCCTTATGCATGCTAGATAAGCAGTCTACCGTGGAGCTACATCCCCAGCCCATCCCAAAGAGCTTATGCATCTTGGAGGTTTTGAAGTAACATTAATTTCAGAATGAGCGTGGACCAACTTTAATTCCATGGAAATGGTAACTCTTCCATAATCTGTTTTAAAATTAGGTAGTAATGTTACACTATTGAAAACCTTGCCTAGAGGTTCTACTTTGTGGCAAGACTGCCCAAGATACTTCAAGTGAGTTTACTAGTTACCTTGTGTAGTTTGCGAAGACGGATATACACTTTATTTTTTATTGGGGATCAAATCCAGAGTCTCGCACATAGTAAGCAAGTGCTCTACCACTCAACTACATTCTCAGCCCTTGGAGGTACATTTTAATTTAGTTCTACAAGTTAAAAACATGATAAAGGGGCTGAGGATTTAGCTCAGCAGCATAAGCACCTGCCTGGCATTGCAAGGTCGTGAGTTCGATCCCTGGTACCACTAAAAAAACATGATAAAATACATGTGATTAACATAGCTAAAACATGGATTGCCCACTCCAGGGCAGCATTATTGTAAATGGCTCTGTGCTTAAACTCATTTATTTCTTTCAGCCATTCTGCAGGTAGTTACTTTTCTGCTGTCGTTACTTTCCAGATAAGAAAAACTTTATAAAATTGAATGAGGGAGCAAAAACTCAGTAATTGTGAAAATTATAGGCTTACTAACCCTAAAGGTATCAACTCTTTTATGAATAAAATGAAAAAGTTCACTTGGAAAATGCATGAAGTTTTTGAATTCTCTCAAGATCTGAATTTATACTTAATGAATTGTGATTTTTTTTAAAAATGATGCAAGTAATAGTTTTTTATGTTACCCGCTTTAAAAAAATGTTAGTATGCTTAAAATGAGTGGTTGAAACTATAATCCTTTTTTCTGACTCTGCTGTTAGCTAAGTCATTTAACTTCTCTTTATTTAATCCATAGAATAAAATAGCTAAAGACAAATCTGTGACAGTTCAGCAATTCAGAGACTGTCTCTAGAACTATAAACTGGATGTATGTATCCTTTTAGGTAAAGTTGTGACCAAAGAGAAAATCCAAGAAGCCAAAGAGGTGTACAAAGAACATTTCCAGGATGATGTCTTTAATGAAAAGGGATGGAACTACATTCTTGAGGTAAAAAGTAGTTTCCTGTTTTGATCCGTTTTGGTTCGATGTTTTGCAAAGACAGTTGAATAGAAGATTGGACTCGACTTGTGATCTGAACATAATGGCTTTTTTAGACATTCGTAAAAAGCTATAGCATTAACATTTGAATTTTTTTAACCCTAAATGTAAATCATGACCATATGGAAGATGTAGTGTCTAAGTAACTCTTTAGGTAATGAATTATAACTTGAAAAATACTTTTCAGGAAAGTAGTTTAATCCATTCTTAAAAATCCACCTAAGAATGTGTAATTATTAGTGAAAGACTACTAATAATTTTAAAGGGACATAGCTGTTTGGCAGTTTCAAAATGTTCTATTTCCGTGACTGAAACTAGAAGCTGTGAGTCTATAACTATAATTGTGGAAATATCACTAACTCAATCGTTAGAATGGTTTGGTATAGATCCATGAACTTTATTTTTATTTTTTATTTTATTATAGTATTTATATCTAGTATATTTGAATTTATTGCTTAAACTTCTGAACATTCAAAGACATAAGGTCAGCACTGTAATGCTAAATGTCCTTTGCTGGTTTCTGTGATACAGATAGTCTGTAGCCGTCTCACAATATTAAGTGTTAATCCGTATCTCACAAACACAAGTTTTACATCACATAATACATGCATATATTAAAATAATGAGTTAAGAGCCAGGCGCAGTGATGTATGCGTATAATCCCAGCACTCAAGAGGTTGAGACAGGAGGATCACTGTGAGTTCAAGGCCAGTCTGGGCTACATAGTGAGATCAAGACCAGCCTGCGCTATATGGTGAGATTTTGTCTCAAAAAACCAGAGAAAAAAATATTTAAAATTTTTTTTCCTCCTTGTTCATGGGTCTTTGCAAATCAGGTAATCACACCATGCTATGTAGTTGGCCAGAGCTTTTAGCTTATAGGCAAGGTGAGGAAGGTTCACTTTATGCCTGTTAGCATACCATGTAGCAAGAAACCCCTCAACCTAATTCAGGAGGGAACCTCTGACAGTAGTTAAGTCAGATTTGGGTGATGATTGCCAAGGCTCTGTGATTGGCCTGTCTCATGGTTGCAAGTCTACTACAAGAATAAAGACAACTCATTTAAGATTCTTCTGAAGGGATTTCCCACTTTTTTTTCTTTTGTTCTCTTACAGCAGTCCCTTATTTTATCCATCTTTGACCTGTGTTGAATAATGATAGTGTTGTTGGAATGTTCTTAGAATACAGTAGAATGAAATAGCCTTCCTTATTTTCTGAAAGGTGAGGGGAAAACAATTTCTGATCAGTTTGGAATTATGTGTCTCTTCTGTAGTTAAGTGTCTTTAGAAGAAACTCTTGACAGCATTAAGCGTAAAAATCAGCATCAGTGCCTAAATTGTTAATAATTGTAATTAACTTTAGGAAGCTAGGGATATTCTGACTAGATTATTGCTAACAATACAACAACATCTACAACTGCAATTTCTGTAAAAGCAAGTTCAGCTTCTGTTAGATGGGGAGAATATCCTGTGTTAAATGAAGGAATTCCTTGTTGTTTCCTACCAGAAATACGATGGGCATCTCCCTATAGAAGTAAAGGCCGTTCCTGAGGGCTCTGTCGTTCCCAGAGGAAATGTTCTCTTCACAGTGGAAAACACAGATCCAGAGTGCTACTGGCTTACAAATTGGATCGAGGTGAGTGACTCTTGCTATTGTTCTTTTTCTTAATAATAATTGATGATAAAAACCATAAATCAGAGGGTTGAGAATTTGCTAGTAATAAAACTAGATAGTCTTCTGCAATTTACTTACGTTTTCCAGCCCTCAGTTGCCTCATCTATAAAATGACAGTTGGACAGTTGAATCATTAGGATTCTTTCCAGTAAAGTCTAATGCTCTGTGATTTTATAAATCAAATTATTACTTTTCAAGCTCAGATAGCTTCTTTTTAATTTGTTTTAATTCTAAATTATTTTATCATAGAGCAAAATTAGGAAAATAGCAGAGGTATATTTTTGGTAACCTAAAAGACATTTTATGGATAGTACATTCCATTTAGACTAGAACCACATTGCTCCAACTTTTAATTACTACTTTTTTTTTTTTTTTTGTCTTTTTTCAGTTTTTATCGGTACCAGGGATCGAACTCACGACTGCCTGCTTGCAAGGCAGGTGCTTATGCTGCTGAGCTAAATCCCCAGCCCCTAATTACTACTTCTTTCTTCTCTGATCAGTTTAGATCCTGAGCTCTACTATCCAGTATTTTTCAGCTTCTCATCTAAATACAACCAAAATTGATGATTCATTACTATGTACTTTCTTTTTTTGAGACAGGCTGTCGCTTTGCAGTTGAGGATAGCCTTGAGCTCATTTTGTAGCTCACACTGGTCTCAAACTTGTAGCACTCCTCCTGCCTCAGCCTCCTGAGTGCTGGGATTGTTTACTTTCTAAATAAAAAAGAAGGGCATGTTCTGAGTTGTTGGTGCATTGCAAAGCAGATGTGATTTTCCCTACATGTATGCCTTAGGTAAACATAGGCTCCTTATACAGTCAGTCACACTGTGGTGACAGTCTACTCAGCTTCACAGCTGTGTGGTGTGGATTCTGTCTGTAACAGGAACGCCCTAGCAAGTGACTGTAGAAATACCACCTTTCTATCTGAGAGGTGTTTAGTTAGTTGTTAGAACTGACTCTAGTTCATTGATCAAAATAATTTATGTGGTAGAATAATACATTTAAGTTTGACTTCCAAAGAAAGACTGAAAAAAATTGGAAGAGTAACAGGTTGAAGAATATATTGAAGTACATATTGCTAAATATAGGAAATGTAAACATCATTATACACCTGTTAGACCATCAGTTAATAACAGGCTCAGGAAAAATGGACAGTTAACTATAATATTTTAAAATCATATATACTGTGTACTAAAACTTTGAATTAACTGAACTCAGTAAAAAATGTATGTTCTTATTTTTGTACTGGCAAATAATTTTGAAGGAATAATGTTACGAGTAGAGGAGTTTTGTTGTTGTTGTTGTTTTGATGGTACTGGGGAATGAACCCAGGACCTTACACATGTTAAACCTGTATTTCCCTCCCCTTCCCTGCCCTGGAGTCCTTACCCACATCCTCTAGACTAGTCTTTACCTTAAAATCCCAGAGAGCCTAAATAGGACGAACATGCATTATCTGCAGATTAACTTATTTTATTTTTAGTTCTCAAACAGGATTTCATCAGTTTTATCTCTTATGTCTAATTGGTTACCCTAAAGCAAATATTTTTAAGTCTATTACCGTTCCACCTTCATGTCTGAAAGTAAAGAAACAGTGACCTTCTGATATATTTTACTAAGAAACCATAAAAAATATATCAGATGTTTTAGACTGGTAGTTTAATTACTGAACCTAAATCCCAGAGAGAATAGATTTTGTTTAAAAAGTATGTATGTACCCTTGTTTTTAGTTGCTTATAATCAGAAACAATTTATATTGCCTTTACTATACACATGTATATTTATAAAAAATCACTTCGGTTCTAAGTAGGTATTTTTAATCCAGCATACAAGAATTTATGGTCTAGTACTATTCCTTGTGATGTAGTTTTTAATAGACCCTGTTTTTAAAAAAAAAAAACTTTTTTCTCTGAATGCACAGCTCCAGAATACTCATCTTCCTAATCACTTATCCTCTTTGGTGGGATGTTTTTGTGGGGGTAGAAGAAATTCATCATATTTTTATGAATTCCCAACCTTAAGGTTATACCCTTGTATTTGAAATCTGTTACCAGATCTCTGACACATTTGTTTACAAACTTGAAGCTATTCCTAATTTAAAATACTTTAAATTCTCATTCCCAGTTTATATTCAGTGTTATTAGTAACTATTTACTGATTGTTACTCACCTGACAGCAGTACAATTGAACTTTAAAACACAGTAGAATTACTGAATTTTGCTGTATTGTTGTTAGAAGAAACCTTACTCCTCCCATCAGATTTCAAAACAAGAGAGGCTAAGAGTTCTGCCAAAAGAAAAGAAAAGCAGATGATTTAAAAACGGTACGGCTGATGAAGTGTCATTTCACAGATGAGGAAACTAAGTCCCTTTAGGTGAGCAGACAGGTGAACAGTGGTGGAGGTACAAGCCTCTCCTGGACCACACCATTTCTCATCTGTGAATCCCTTATCTGCACATAGGCATTGTATGTAATGGACAGTTCTGAAAAGAAATTTATAGCTTCATTTACCTTAGTCTTAGTTTTCAGCTAAACTTTTACCTTATGTGGCAAATTGCTGTTCTGGAAACGTTTCCAACAAGGCCTGCTTCATCAGACCTTGGATTAACCCAAACTAACTTGCCTTTTTTTCCCTTGCTTACACCTACAGTGATCTTTTTAAAAGGGGAGTGATTTTGTTAAGAGTATAATTTAAGCTGATTTTGTTGGACTGTGGAAGGAAATGTGATGTGAAGGATCACTGTGTCTGATAGTTATTTCTCTCCTTCCCTGGCATTTTTCAAGGGGTAAGGTCAATCTTCTACCTTTATAACTCAACTAGAGTTTTTCACATTATGTTTTCTGTCTTTCTGACACGCCTACATAATACTGATATCTGAGTTGAATGAAAATGTAAGAATTGATAGAATTAAATTCAACACATGAATATTGAGTATAAGCAATGTACAGGGAAAAAAATGCTAAGCACAAAAATTAGCATAAGATTTGTCTCCATAAGAGCCCTGAGGGTCAGGTGATAATGTATTCTTAATTTACATCTAATGCCATGCAGAATTTATGCTGTGTGGGTACCAGAAAAATAAGTACGTTTGTCTAAAGAATTGTGAAACAGAAAAAACTAACTTTTAGTAAGAGGAGTATAGAGCTAAGGAAAAGCACAGTGTTTTTAGAATGACACATAATTCAGTGAGATCTGGAGTACAAAGCGTCAGAGGAGACAGAACTGAAGTGGTAAACTCCACGCACTTTCAGAAAGCCTCAGTTCTGTTTGAATTCACTTTCCTTACTTATGAACAGTAAATAGCCACTTAGGGCTTTTAAGGCATGATGCAGCCTGAGTAGCACTTGCATTAGGATGGTAACAAGTAGAAATATGAAGAATATCACAGAAGCTGAAGATTAGTAGGAGTAGGAAAATTATGGTCATTGGCAAAGGGATAAAATAGGAATTTCAGGAGCAGAATGGTCAGAGTGGAAGTGATTGGTTATAAAGCATTAGTTATGAATTTGATCAGCTTTGTGTAACAGACTACCCCAAAATTTAATGGCTTAACACAGCTGTTGTTTCTCATGAGTCTGCTGGCCACTAGTCTGTTTGGACAATAGCAGGGACTGCCTGGTCCCACTCATTGGCCAAAGCTTCTTCCTGGCATGTTAGTTCTAAGAAAATAACAGTGGATGCTTCACAATCTCTGGAAAGTGGGGTTTTGAAATCACACAGCATGATATCAGCCATATCATTTTGGGCAAAAACAAATCACAGAGATAGCCTTGAATCGAGGGTAAAGAAGTAGACTCTAGCTGTACTTCACCAGTCAGAGGGGTCCCACATTACAGTGTTTTTCTTTTTAAATAACCAGATTGCTGAGCAAGCCTAAGGTTAAATAATCTTTTTATTTGTTATTACTTGTTTTATTTACTGATTGCTTATCTGATATTTAGTAAAAGCTTATATTGTAAAATTTAAGAAATTGTCTTTTTTGATATAACTCAAACATGGTTATCATTTCACAGTTCTCTCTAAAAGTAGCTTTAAAGCTGCTTCTAATAACATAAGGTTTATAAAATAATGGTATAGAGTAGAGAAGTGAATTGCCAAGCCACAATAATTAAGGTGATTGCTGTAATTGAGCATTAAACTTTTGTTCTAGTTTCTTGGCAGCCAAGAAAAAAAAACTCAAATGATAAAGCAAGAATGGAGAAAATATGAACCTAGCATTTGTTATACGTCCTCATTTGAGAACTTGTAGCCGCTGGCATTACAAAATGAGACAGTTGGCCTGGGATATAGCTCACTGGCATAAGCGCCTGCCTGGCGAGTGCAGTGTCCTAAGTTCAGTTCCTGGTACAAAAAAATAAAATGAGACCTTGACCTTGTAGTTGCGTGATATGCAGAAATGTTTCATGCGATTTTCTTGTAATAAAACTAGTTAAAAACAATAATAAAGCATAACTCACTGAGTAGAGTTCTTTTATGCTAAGAATGAAGTATCTCAAGTATTTGATTTACAGTAGTCATATTAGATCCAAGATTACCCAGGTGAGGAAATGAGTAACTCTTTAAACCAGTACTGCTCCCAATGTGGCCCATAAACCAGTACTGTTTTGTGACTGGTTTGATTCAGGTCTACATTAAAGGAAGAAATTGAGAATAAGCTTTTAGACACTTGACAGTGTGCCATTACTTCCACATCAAATGTGATTATCAGTCTACAGCAGATTAAAAATTCTTTTTAAAAAATGGTCCTTCACCAGATCTTTCAGGATATTATTTGCCTTTCTGGAGCTTTAGTACAAACATGATAATTGAAGTTCTCCACTAACAGTGGTTTGGCATATCATCATCTTTGTTGCTGTTTTGAGAACTACACTGTGTATAGTGTCCAAAATGCACAAGTTATACATCCTGCTGTTCAGTCAAAACGTCTGATTGATACTTCCAACAGCGCAAAAGTGCAGGACATCTATCTGGGGAAAGCTAGGATTTTCCCCAGAAAGAGCCCTGTATTTTACGTGTTCATTTTTGTGGTTGATTTTGTTACTACAGACTATTCTTGTGCAATCCTGGTATCCAATCACAGTGGCCACAAATTCTAGAGAACAGAAGAAAATATTGGCCAAATACTTGTTAGAAACTTCTGGTAACTTAGATGGCCTGGAATACAAGCTACATGATTTTGGCTACAGAGGAGTCTCTTCCCAAGAGGTAAGTCACCTTGTTTAGTAATATGTGAATTGTTAATTACAGTAAAATGCTGAGAACCTACTATGTATTCGCCTCTGTTAAAGGTACTTGGGATATGTCCCAGTACTTTAGATAGTAGGTGAAGGGATGGATGGAGAAGCAGGAAAGTGGACATAGTAAACATATGAGATGCTAAGTAATACTACAGAGCAGGAAAGGCACGGTAAGGGAAGAGAGTGGAACCGTGCCTGGGCTAGGACACTTGCCACAGCAAGCTGCTTGTTACCTGGAGAGCTCTGAAGCTTCTCCTCTACTGGCTACCGGCAGTAATCCCCTCGCGGGCTTTGCTGAATGCCTACAATAGGGATTTTCACTTGTGGATTTTGGTTTATGTTGGTTTTCAGACTGCTGGCATAGGGGCGTCTGCTCACTTGGTTAACTTCAAAGGAACAGATACGGTAGCAGGAATTGCTCTGATTAAAAAATACTATGGCACAAAGGATCCTGTTCCAGGCTATTCTGTTCCAGCTGCAGAACACAGGTAAAATTCTATTTGTTTTTATCTTATTAACATTTATTTTCTAAAACTAATTTTTGTTTTCACTTTGGCATTGTAAGTCAGGGATGTTTGCAGAGCTGCAGAGCCAGGGCTGTGATAAAATGTTCCTGAAGTTAATGCTGAGGTAGTGCTGCATTTGTGCTTCATACGAAGAGTAGCCCCAGGAGATTCAGGGCTTTTACTCCCCTGATAGCGCAAGTTAGGTCTTTATTTTACAATGCTTTATTTGCAGTATTACCATCAACAAATTTGCTTCATTAAATTAAATCTGGAAGCACCATAAGTATTGGTTGCTTTTTTTTTTTTTTTTCCTTTTCCCTGCTTTTTCGCTTGCTCTCACGTGTCTGCCTGGAAACTAATCTGGAGCCCAGTCCTTTAGTTGTAAATGAGCAGGTAAGCCCTTTTGATGAAGAGTATTGAAATTGTTTCCTTATTTGCTGTTATTAAAGTAGAAGAAAACTATCATCTAGGCTGCCGCTGCTGTCAGCATAGAGTCCACTTGTATCAAAAGTACATGGAGTTGTTTTTTTAAATACATATCAACTTAAGACCATACGCAAGTGAAATAAATCAGACGTGCATGTGCATACATCGTTTCATCTCACTAGTGGGGGAAGCTGAGAGAAACTATACACATATATAAAAGGTAGTTAAGATAGTTATATTACTGATTTCTGTGGGCTCATTGTAGAGAAAGGTTTGCGCCAGTATTGTTCGGACTATTAAATGCAGATGTCTTGTACCCTGAGAAAGTGATACAAAGATAACAGTACACAGTGTAAGCACCATTGTTACCCCAATTACCGTGTTTTGAAATATTAGGGTTTTTGTCCTTTTTAAAAATAAAAAAAATTGTTAATGAGAAAAAAGATAAAAATACACGTCAAATCTTATTTCTGCTTCTTAAACATTAGTGTTTATCATAATAATTCAGAAATGTAAATTGAGTTCTCAATGAAAATTGCAGGGTGCTAAAATGAGCAGTGAGTTGAGAATGAAACTGAGATTTGTTATTATTCCTGATTCATAGTAATTAGCCAGCCTTCATCTGTAAGGCAATCTGCTGGACGCTATTAAACTGTGACCCACTCTTTAAGATAAAAATAGTGCACTAGTAACATTCTGCTCTATTGGCTAATGAACTTTTGTTAATGAGGTACAATTAAGGTACTAAAAAGACAAGGAGAGAAGGAGCCTATCCCACCATCAGGATCAAGAAAGGTTTTAGAAAGCCCATATGTGAAATCTTGACTTCTTGAAGGAATGATATAATTCAAGACAGATTTGGGTGATCATTCATCCTATGAATAATATTGATTGCATGTTTCCATGTGTCAGACCTTGTGATGAAGGGGGAGTGTGGGGATGTGTTCAGGGAATAACCATGGAAAGAGATTTTGTAGGGAACATAGAACATGGTTAATAAGAGCCTTCATACTCATTTTGACATCACGTGTTAACTGTGTGCACGTCATGCTAGCTTGTTCTTAATTAGACATCGTTGAAAGGGAGCAAGCCCTGAAGTTTTTGACCAAAGAAGTTATGGTTCCAGAGATACATTTTAAGAGAATATTTGATGGCAGGATAACCAATGAACTAAAAAAAAGAAAACACTGCAGTTAGGAAACTACAGCAGTTTTGAGGTGATGAGATCCAGAGCCAAGTGTCTGGGGACAGATAGAAAAAAGTAGATAAACATGGGCAGTGATTGAGGAGATGATCTCAGTTGGAGTTTGGTGGACAGTAGATGGAGCCAGCATGTGTGAGCACTGCTGTATTGGTGGAGCCTTGTTGAACACTGCTACACATAAGGTTCCAGACTAATGAACAGAAAAAATTAGAGCATTGTTAGCACATAAGCTTTGAGGTTATTTTTGCTTTTGACTTATGTGTATATACCTTTTAAGAATTTAGTGTTGATCCAATACTAGGCTTTTTGTTTCTAAGCCATAACATCAGTATGCCTTAAACCTGAGAATAAAGGTAGTATCATGTTCGGGGTTTTTGTGTTCAAATACAGAGGACACCGTGCAGCACAGGGCAAAAATTCATTTTCTTTTTGTGGTCCTATACTATGTATTATATTGAATTATTAATATATAAGAATGCTTTAGACATTCAAAAAACTGAAAGTTGAGAAATGCGAGTGACCTTACAGCTGACATCATGGGTGGCCTTGGGCAAGACCGTTATCTCTCTGCTCTTTGTTCCTCCATCCAGCCACTAAAAGAAGGAGGTAAAATTTAAAGCAGTCGTTTAATTTGTTGCTTGAAATTAGGAAAGTAGCATGGATTGAATTCATTTAATCAAACAGAACAAACATTTATGATGTCAATATAAAAATACTTTTAAATTTAAGAGTTACGTGTTACAGGGTTTTGCCGAGGAAGCCATGGGATATGTCTGTGGCCTCCTCCCTAATGAAGTAGCTCTGGAGCCAGGAAGACAAACTGAGTCACCATACAAACCCTGGAAACTGCAGGGGTATTTTTGCACACTTGGAGTCTTTCACACCGGAAGGGATTATAGAGGGAGACAAGTGCCCGGGTGAGAGCAGTAAGCAGTACCAACATTTAACAGGTTAGGTGGGTGGAGAGCACCACGTATGGGGAGATGGTTCCTAACCAGTGGGAAGGGAACTGCAATGTGTGAGAACTGCTATGACCGTGGAGAAGGCTCTTGTGCCATGGGAAAGCAACTCTAAATTTGAGGAATGGGGCTTCCTTTTGACGTGCAGGTGCTTGCATGAAGTCAAAAGCCAGTATCAAAGCCACTAGCAGCCAGTATAGGTTTTTTGTTCATTTGTTTGTTTGTTTTCTGAGCAAAGAATCTTGCCATGTAACTCAGGCTAGCCTTGAACTCATTGTGTAGCTCAGGCCAGGCCCAAACTCTCAGGATCCTCCTGCCTCTGCCTCCCATGTGCTAGGATTATGGGCATGTGCCACCATGCCCAGTGTATATAGTTTTTGCTATCAGTGAGTTTGAGGTGAATAGACCTTTTCTGGGCTTCAGACAAGGGCAGTGTCTTGGTCACTATTAAATCTTCAGAGTCCTGAAGTATACCTGCTCATTGCCATCTGCCACCATTTGAGAAAAGGAGTTTACTCCAGTCCTTTAGGAAAAAATTGTAAAAACTGGCAAATTCATTCATTATTGAGAATAGGCCAAAACTATAAAATTAATGGGGAGTAAAAGTTGATTAACACAAAGAAGTAGGAATTTTCAAACTCATTATTACATTTTATGAGACTTTTAAAATTATATTACATATTAATTAACCAACAGATACTTAAAATTACACATTAGGTAGCAAACTATTTGATAAATACCATTATTGAGGACTTTGGAAAAAATCACAGAAGCCTTTCTTGCCTAATACTGTTACCTCTATATAAACTGTCGTACTCTAGTTCTCATCTTAATTATGTTTTCTCAAACTGAACATCAAAAACTCCTGTTCCTTGGGCATGTATGAATAGTAATTTATAAGTGAAGTAACTGCCTGTTGCTGGCCATTTGAAGATATACCAGGCAAAGAGTTCGTTTTGACTATACACGAATGGTATAGTATAAACAGTTGCTTAAGTAATTGCCTTAAAGTGTGAGATTGTATAACGGAAAAAAAGACAAAATATGTCTATAGTATTGCTGGTGGATGGTTTCAGACCTTCACAGAAGGGAGTCAAGTGCTTGCAGTGCCTAGCAAAGTAGTGGGAGTATGTATTCTAACATGCTGGCTTCAGGTGTGGAAGGCAGGCAGAACTGCTGAAGCAGAATAAAGTAGTTCTAAAAATTCAGATTGGTCAAGCGCTAGTTTGGTCAGAAGAATCTGTTTTCCTTTTGGTGTGCATCCATTAAACTCACTCACCTCTGTGATGTCAATGATGCAGCATAGTGAACATAAGATGCAGTAAACAGTGCTTTAGGAATAGATAATGTACCTGCCTAAGTAAATCTGTATTTTTATTTTGTTTTCTAGTACGATAACAGCTTGGGGGAAAGACCATGAAAAAGATGCTTTTGAACATATAGTAACACAGTTTTCATCAGTGCCTGTATCTGTGGTCAGCGATAGCTATGACATTTATAATGCATGTGAGAAAATATGGGGTGAAGATCTAAGACATTTAATACTGTCAAGAAGTACAGAGGCACCATTAATAATCAGACCTGACTCTGGAAATCCTCTTGATACTGTATTAAAGGTAAATTTTAATGTGTAACTTGATTATTAAAATGCCTACAGACCAGCTGCATTAACACTGCTCTTAACTTCATTTATACACACACCATGTCAGACTTTCTCAGGTAATCTCCTTATTCTTTAGAATTACAGCCTAGAGAAATAATAGGTTTGCCCAAAGTCACACATTAATAGCAAAGAAAACATACAAAAAAATTGAGGATATTTATAAACTTGTCAAACAGATGAATACTACTGAATGTATACTTTCTTAACTCCATACCTTCAAAATTAATAGTCACCAAGTTTATTGTGGTTTGTTTTCTTCAATCACAAGTCCTTGTTAAATTTTCAAAGTTGTTAGTACAGAAAATACATGTTCAGGGTTATATGAAATAAGTAACCCAGAAATACTTTGCAAGTAGTGGCTCTTTAGAAGTGGTGTTGATTCTTAACACAGCAGTCCGTGCTGCATTGTTTTGTGTTGTGGACTTGATTTGCCTTCTTCAAAAGGCAGTAATCGGAAGATTAATTGATACTTACTGTTACAAAAATACTGTGTGAATTGCTTCCATTAAGATGTGTCATCTGATCGCATTTAAAAAAAAAAAAAACCTGTGATGAATCTAAAATTGCCTCTTGTAAAAAGAAAACACAGAGGCACAGAGAGGTTAAAGTGACTTGATCGTTCACATGAGTGATGCAGGGCCCCAGTGTAGGTCTTCTGACTGCATCCGTCACTCTTCACCACTGTGCCACACCTAAAATTACCCTTTAAGAAGAGGGGACAGACAAAGCCTTTCTGATGGCAAATGGTAGGCTAACTTGCAGGTCTTGTCAGACCCTGAAATAGCTGGTTTTAACAAACAAAATGCCACATTTTTACTATCTAAAAATTGTACACTACCAACCACAGTTAACAAACTTAAGTCACTTACGGAATTGTCTCGTGGTTGGAATCCTGTCAGTTTATTTAGGAAAAGGAAATGGTTCTTAGGAAAGGGACACGTCTTGTAGGCCTTTTTTATCTGACTGTTTTCCATGAAATTTTAAATGTGTTTTAAGTAATTCAGCTGCTATAAACTTTCATTGGTGAACGAATGAGCAGGCTGATTTGCATATTCTGCAGTTTGATTTCAGCAGAAGAAAGGAGAACGAGCAGTTATGTGATGATACATATTTCATTTCTGGCTTTGTTTCCTTGAAGTTTTTTATTTAAGTGGACTTGAGTTTTTATGTGAGTTGGACATAAGCAGAATAAAGGCAAATCAAAAGTACAGTCATTATTTTAAATCATACTTTAAAATGTCCTAATTTAAGAATTTTTTTAATCCTTGTAATTTCAAATTTGCAAAGGAATAAACAGGTTTTAAGTCAGTTATGTTATAAATTGACTTCCTATAAATAGCATGCCTGACATAATTTAAAGGAATTGAAATCAAACTTTATACAATCTGGGGCTGGAGATTTAGCTCAGCGGCATAAGCGCCTGCCTTGCAAGCAGGCAGTCGTGAGTTTGATCCCCAGTACCAATAAAAATAAAATTAAAAAAAAAAACTTTACACAACCTTATACATAGTATTATGTAATTTTTTAAGTAATTGAACAGTTGAATTGATTTTTGTATTTACATGATTAACAAAGTAAAACGTTAATTTTTGAAAAACTTTTTTCCAGTTTCAGTTATTTGTGTTATGTGTGTTTTTTCATACAGGTTTTAGATATTTTAGGTAAGAAATTTCCTGTCACTGAGAACTCAAAAGGCTACAAGTTGCTGCCACCTTATCTTAGAGTTATTCAAGGGGATGGAGTAGATATTAATACCTTACAAGAGGTATGTGTTTTATTAAACGTTTCAGAAAGGGAATCCTTATATTTAAGCTCTTTATTAACTTGACAAACAGTACATTAATCTGAATACAACTGTGGGGTTTAAGTGTCTGTAGTGGTACATTTAAAAATAGTAAGTTGAGCATGGTAGTGCACACCTATAATCCCAGCACCCGGGAGGCTGAGGCAGGAGGATCACTGCCTGGGCTACAAAATGAGTTCAAGGCCATCCTGAACTGCATAGTGAAACCATGTCTCAAAATAGTCAAGTATACTTGCTTCTCATTGAATGCCTTGGATAATGCTTCTAAAGATGTCTCACATCTTTAGAACCACAATGAACCACAATGTCAAGAAGTATTCCTCTAATACAAGACAAAAAGTTAACATAGATCCAAATTAAAATTGGATTATATTAATGGGTGCCTTTTCAGAAGTTATAAAATGGTTTGTCACCTCTTGTAAATTAAGCATTGACTGTCATCAGCAATTTTGTTAGATTTAGTCAAGTGGTATATTATACTGTCTCTAAGTTTTGCCTCTTTTGGCAAGTTTTGAAATAAGCTTTTTAAGAGCTCTAATTTCATTTTAACTAATACTTTAAATATTCTATAAAAATTAAGAATATCACTAACATAATATGGATGCTGTGCTATTGTAAACCTCTGGCATTTTGATGTATCCCAGGCCACATGACAAAAAGCTGTATAACAGTTCATCAGAGGATTTTCTGTTTGAAAGAGATTAGTGTGGTTAAAATCAGTACCCAAATTATAATTTCCCAAAATTTAATTTAAAAAGAGCTCTGATGTGTCATAAACTATTTCTGTGATGATGTGCTCTTGTAGAATTCCAAAGTGGGATTCTGGAGTGAACCTCTGTTACAATAACAGAAATGAGATTTCTTCCACCAACTCCCGGACTGTCTTAGTGTCTCCAAGACACCGGGTGTTGGGACATTAGGGTCTTTCATACGAAAAAGAAAGCAGAAATGAAAGTTTGTAACGAAGAGCTGGAGACCCTTTTCATTTCCCCACCCTTGCTTTTAAAGTAAATTTTGAGAATACATGTACATTTTTAAAGTTGGAAATCAGCTTAAGTTTGACTTACTTTTTATCCACACAAACAGAATGAATGCTGAGACGCATACTCTTAGCACCGATGAACTCTTTAAGTAGGACAGTCAGAACTGAAGTTTTGTGTTAATGCAAGCACACTTACGGGAAATCTGAAGAGTCCATTGATTAACCCAGAGGCTAAACTTGTTTCTTCATATTGGAAGTCAGAAAATGTATATTTTTAGAAGTAAAATAATTCTCTTAGCAATTTTGCTTTGTACATATGCTACATTAGATGCCTTGATTTGGACAAAATGAAGAATCTCATTTATTTGAAACAACTGTGCTCTTGCTTTGACTGTCACCTTCACATAGACTTCACTATTCCCAGTCTCCCTGGTGACATTCCCAGTTTCTGTGTTCCATTGTGTACCAGAATGAACCCGTTCATTTAGGAAAGGAGACAAAAATCCCTTTCATATTAGACAAAATTCAAAGTGGTGTCTTCTCTGTCTGACTGATAGGGCTCAGGCTCTGTGGAAGTCACTGGAGCATCTCTATTGGAATGGTTCTTCAGTTCCATTAAAATAGCATTGAATTCTCAGAGTTAGCAAGGAAAGAGTTCTTTGAATTCCAATGTTTTGAATTTTTTCTTCCTAAGCCTAATTATATGTTAATATTTTATGTATAGGACAATTTTTTTTTCCTTCCATACCTATCCTACATTATATTCCTGGAACCCTTTTTCCTACATTTCTTGGAAATTTCCCCTAAGCATCCCAACTTTGGTCTAGAGACTTATTAAGAGTTACTGGTTTAATGTGTATGTTTTAAAATCAAATATACATATTTTGTATATCTCCCAAAAAAATATACTGCAGAAGCTGTTGTACACTGTAACATGATTTAAATGAATGGTTGTTATAAAAAAAATTAAATTCTAATGATATAATGTGGTTCCTCAGTTAGATATTTTGGGTATAAAATACAAAAACATTCACAAGAATAGTGCCTAAGAATGGTATTTTGTCAGTTCATGTCTAATCAGATTCCCTTCTGTTTGTATAAATGTCATTGAATAATTTTCCCTAGTTAGAATTACCCATTAACAGAAAAATTCACGTCAGCTCCAACATGACATAACCATTTATAAGTTAGTGAAGAAACTTGTCCAGAAATATAGTGACATAGTAGGTGACACTGTTACCATCTCTCATTACGGAGCTTCTGAAGCAGATCTAAAATCAGGTGATAGATCTGAAGCTATTTTCTTTGAATCTACTCAAACCATTTTATTCTCCATCTGTTTCCCTTTCTTTCCCTCCCTTTTTCAACTTTACTCTGCGTTTCTTTCCCATATTGAAATTCATTGTGTTCAGTCCTGTCAGTATGAAATCTGTGTTCAGGGGCCTTAAGTTCAGGCACAGTAGTAAGGTGAGATGGAATGGTATACAACCTAAACTTCAGGAGTTACTTTAAAATAAATTGGATGTGTTTCCATATTGATTCTTCTACTTAAGGAAGATGTATTCTAGGACAAGAAAGAATTAGAATTTTAAAATGAGGCTGGATTGTTCGGTGTATGTCACTTCAAATAATTCTGTTGAACAGCAGAATCTTGTGTCACACAAATCTCTGTAGCTAGCTAAAGAATCATTCTCCCAAAAATACCCAACAGTAAATCTCGAGCATCTGCCTGTAATCTTGTTTATGGCACTGGAGCACCAGCCAGAGTAAAATGACTACCAGTGTCACACTTGTTGATGTAGGAAAGAAGATTGTGTTTTATTTTGCCACTAATAATCAGTGACCTGCATGTCCATTTCCAGCAGTGTGCAGTGTGACCTGTAGCATGGTGTGGCTATATTGTCACGGGCTAGTGAATAGAGTCATTCCTGGAGTCTGTTTATTGGCCCCAGTGTATTTGGTGCTGGCATTTGGGCAATAACTGAAGGAGGTGGATGAGAGACGTTGACTCAAGTTACCTTAGATATTTATAGGCAAGTTCCTCATTCTCCAAACCCAACCATAATGACAGCAACAACACATTCGGCAACTGTGTGTGCAGTCCCCTCCTTCCATGCATGTCCATCTCAGGATGCCTTTTTTGGGGCAAATGGGTCTTTAGCATATGTGAGCATTAAATGGGTCTTTTTAAAAATGTGAATTATAACTGTAAGCCTTACACATCCCCTTGTTGACTGTTAACAGCTCTGGGATGCTTCATTAATGTTGTCCTTTGAAATGAACCTTTGTCCTCTCCCAGATTACTTAGGTTTTGTTTTGTTTTAATACTCTAGATTGTAGAAGGCATGAAACAAAAAAGGTGGAGCATTGAAAATGTTTCCTTTGGTTCTGGTGGAGCTTTGCTACAGAAGTTAACCAGAGATCTCCTGAATTGTTCCTTCAAGTGTAGCTATGTTGTCACCAATGGCCTTGGGGTATGTCTTTGAACTTTTGCTCCTGTTTAGCAACTTCTTTCTGTATCTGGATAGATGGAGAACACTTACTAACAGCAGTAGTCAAAAGATAATATGTTCCTGGACTATTAATGTGTTTTCAGGTACTCATGACCTTGACCTGGAAGCATGGGAAGGAAGCTGTTAGTTATAACATGATGAAGGGAGAAAAGAGAGACTTGGAAAACAGAAAAACAGTAAAGTGAAAGATTATTTAAGAGATAGGTCATTCATTTGTCACTGCTTCAGATTTGAGTAGGAATGTCCGCTAACTTAGTTATCCCGTATCAAAGATAAGCAAGCCTGTAACCACTTCTAGGAAATGCAGTGTTAATTCTGAGTGTGATAGCAAAGTCATGTTCAGTAGCATAGCACAGTGAGGCAGCTAAACAGTCCCCCTGGTCTCCATAGTGCCCCCAAGCCCAGTCCTGGAGTCAAACCTGGGTCCACCCGACTGAGTCATAGCCGGAGCCCTTTTCCTCTGTTTTTTATTTCAAAACAGGAAGTCACTTTTAAGTTGCCAGGGCTGGGCTTGAACTTGAGGTCTTTCTGCATCAGCCCCGCAGTGTCCTAGGGTTATAGCATGTCCCACAGCACCCAGCTGTGCCGTAGCCTGTTGCGGGTGTGGAGTCAGAGTCCGTAAGCAGTGAGCAGGAAGCTGAGGACGCTGAGGAAGACCGGGGTCGGTCTCCCTCCACTCCACTCCGGATCTGCCCTGGGAGAGTCTCGGGGCTCGCTCGGCTCACTGCTCCCTTCTCATTCCACCGTCACTGCTGGCTGCGTCCACCGTGTTTGCTCTCCTGCCTTGTGATCTTGAAACATTCTGCTCTCCTCAGGTTCTCCACAGTCTTTTCCTTCCCTAATACCTAGATAACGTAAAGTAACGACACGGAAAGGTTATGAAATAGGAAAGCCTCTACTGTGCAATACTCTCTTTCCATCTTTAACTTTTCTTTCTTTGCAATAGCATGTGTGTACTAAGTATCCATTTAAAATTATTACATATTTTTACATATTACAGTACAATAAATGTCACATGTTAAAATTTTCAAAGATGTCTTACAAGTGGACTGTATGTTTATATGTGTCTATATTTATGTGTAAATACACATAAGTATGTATGTGCTTTCTTTGCAAGTGGGTAGTGAATATTTCTCGATTAATGTTCTTTTTCTCTATCTTTCTTAAATGCATATCAGATTAATGTCTTCAAAGACCCAGTAGCTGATCCCAACAAAAGGTCCAAAAAGGGCCGATTATCATTACATAGGACACCAGCAGGGAATTTTGTTACTCTTGAGGAAGGAAAAGGAGACCTTGAGGAATATGGTCAGGTATGTATCTGTACTGATTGGTTTTTGTGGTAGTTGATTGTCTCTCCAAATTAATAATGAGGTTTTTGTATTTTTTTAAATTGCTTTCAGAACTGTTTTATGAAGTAATTTCTTAATAGCATTGAATTCTATTGGTTTTCTTTAATCTCATTACATTTTTTTCTTTCTTTCTTCCCTTTTATTCATTTATTTATTTATTTATTTATTTTAGAGGCTGGCCTTGAACTCACTGCGTAGTCCATATTGACCTCGAACTCATGGCAGTCCTCCTGCCTCAGCCTCCCAAGTGCTAGGATTACAAGCATGTGCTACAATACCCAGCCTGGTCTCATTATATTCTTCTAACAATTCTTTGAGCTAAAAAAGGCAAATTATGTTACCCTAGTGTAAAAATGAGAGGACAGGATAAATTGTTTTAGATTACATGACTAATAGTGATACCTTAATCTAGCTTGCTGATTCAAATCAACTGAATTGGGGGGGAAAAGTGTGTATAGTTCTAAGGTAGTCTACATACTCTGCCATTTTAGTTTCTCTTTGTGTATTCAAAAATTATGAACTTCTTGGTTTGTAAGTCACATAATCGGAAAACTGATTTTTACAGGGATACTATAAATACGCATGTTCTCAGAAAAGTTTATACTGAAAAAATACATGAATATCTTATATTTTTTATTATGCCAGATTTACTGCTTATAACAGGATGCTTTTAGTATATTTTTTAAATTTTAGAACCAAAATTAATGAAATAATGTTTATCTTTAATGAAAATAAATTTGTAAATCAAACTTTTAAAATTAATCTCTTTACATAGCAGTTCTTTAAATAGATTTGGCTTAACTATGACAGCTACCAAAATTTTGCTGAATAAATTTCTCATGTGTGCTAATTACTAGAGACTCAGTAAAAGTAAAAGCTTCAGTGTGAATCCTGCACTGGAACACCTGCTGTAACAGTCTTTGTACAATTAGGTAGGCATTCTGATTAAAGCGTAGGAACCAGCATTCCTGTTTAAACAGGAATAGGTTACGTTTAGATTTATGGGAGGAAAATGCTACAACTAATCGAAAGCAGTGCAGTGACAGAGATACTAGACCATGTTGTGTGTACCTTCAGACTAGATGGGACATTGAAATTATCTGTGTTGGATTTTTTTAAAGAGAAACCAGAGGCAGCTAACTCTTTAGGGAAACAGGAGTAGCTTTACCTGATCCAAAGTGAATCTGGTCCTTATTCTCTATCTGGTTACCTTTATCTGATGGAGTGGATTACATTTATCAGTGACTTCGAAGGATACAGAGTGCATGAGATGGAAATCGCCACCTGTGTTTCTGTTTGAGGTTTGGTTTTTGTTTGGTGTTTTTAGGTTAAAGTTTAGTGACTAGCAAATTTATTAAACTCGGGAGTTGACAGGTTTCATCAGTTTTGAGTCTGTTGGCCAGAAAAGAGGGAAGTTTGACCGTGGCAGGGCTTGTCTTGCTGTCTGTCAGTGTTCACAGTGAGTCTCAGTTCTCCTAGGCAAACACACTTGCAGGTCAGAAGAAAATCGTTTGCTTAACTAACTCCATTGTTTAGGGGAGTTAGCTTAAGAATATAATCCTTTAACAATCTTAGAATATTGTTAAATTGAGCACCTTTAGCATCTGTATTTGACTAGTTAGATAAATTTGTTAAAACATGATTCACATATTTGGTTTGATGATCTCTTTAATCATTAAATTTACGTTTCTGCAGGATCTTCTCCATACTGTCTTCAAGAATGGGAAGGTAACCAGAAGCTATTCCTTTGATGAAGTAAGAAAGAACGCACGGCTGAACATCGAGCTGGAAGCAGCGCCTCACTAGGCCGGGTCCCGTGGCTGGGTGCGTGTTCTTGCGCGCGCCTGTGTGAGCGTATGTAGTACATAATGTGTATTGTACAGCAGTGTGGGGTTTCGCTGTGTTTTATGATACCTTACAGCCAAATTATTTGTTGGTTTATGGACATAACTGCCCTTTTTTTCTTTTGTTTGCAGTACTTAGGTGATCTCAAATTAGGCAACACACATAACCATTGTGAAAGATTAATGCTAAAGTCAGCTTTTTAGGGCCCTTTGCCAATAGATAGTAACTCAATCTGGTATTGATCTTTTCACAAGTAACAGAACCAAGACACTTTTATATATAACTAACGATCACATAAAACAGATTTGCATAAAATTATCATGATTGCTTTATGTTTATATTTAACTTGTATTTTTGTACAAACAAGATTGTGTAAGATATATTTAAAGTTTCAATGATTTAACAGTCTTTCCAACTTTTCATGATTTTTATGAGCACAGACTTTCAAGAAAATACTTGAAAATAAATTACATTGCCTTTTGTCCATTAATCAGCAAATAAAACATGGCCTTAACAAAGTTGTTTGTGTTATTGTACAATTGAAATTATGTCAGGACGTACCCTATAGAACTACTAACCGCACTGCCCCTTGTAGAATTTGTATTGATCGTTCTACATCTGAGACAATGACGGCTCTCACTGGAGTGTCTGGCACTGTGCCGTTACATACCCTGGTCATTGTGTTGTACAGTGAAATGCCAAATTTGAAAGGCCTGTACTACAGTTTTATATGTCAGATATGCCTGTGGCTCTAATATGCACCTCAAGATTTTAAGGAGATAATGTTTTTAGAGAGAAATTCTGCTTCCGCTATAGAGTATATACATAAATGTAAAATACTGACAGAAGCGGAAGCAGTGTATTTTAAAGCAATTATACTTCTGAATTTATTTTTCATATTCTATAGTTGGTATGACTTAAATGAATTAACTGGAGTGGGTAGTGAGTGTACTTATTTTAAATGTTTTGATTCTGTTATATTTTTCATTAATTTTTTAAAAAATTAAATTGGATATTAAATTGTATGGATATCCTTTATTAATTTTAAATTGAATTTTTAAGTAACTGCTCAAGCAAGTGCTTAGATGAGGATAAATTATTCCTGAGGAAAGCACGATGACGAGCGTTGGTAGAACCGAAGGGGAGAACTCACGTGTGGTCTGTCAGTGTGCTAGGGGCCGCCAGTGGTGCTGCCCACTGGCCGCGGCTGGTGGGCCGCGCCGTGTTTCCAGCAGCTGCCTCCTCGTACGACCACAGAAGCTGAGGCGCTGCAGCAGAGACCGTGTGACCCCGAAAGCCTGAGATGTTTCCAGTGCGTCCTTTTACACAGATTTATGCAAGCAGGCGCCTGGCCCGGTGCTCAGAGCAGAGGAGTGTGCCGTGAAGAGAAGTGCTGGGCTTCGGGAGGGAGGGAAGGAAGGAAGCTTGCTATGCAATGTGGCGTTCTCTCTTTCCCTTTAAGAAGCTACTACTAGGCAACCGGTTTAGAAAAGCTTAATATGATACTAGTGAGGATGAAATTTTAAAAATTGAAAAGCCATAAATCATCTCTCTTAAAGTTACATAAGAAAATGTTTTATCACTGGAGTAATTTAAAGATAGGTGAGTTAATGACTGTCTAAGCAGCATTAGAAAGAACATAAGTTCATCCATGATAGAAATAATTTAAGCTTTTTTTAATGTACATAAATAAACACTAGTAGTAAAAAGATATCTTTCTTCCTGAAAAGTGCTAAGGGGTTTACAGGGAAACTCTGTTGCCAATACCAACTTTGATGACCACCATAATTTTGTCCATGTTTAAACATTGGAATTATACTACAGCAGTATTCTTAGTGTTCTATGAATTCTAGCAGCTCAGGGTATCTAAGGGAATTTTGTCTTGAAACTTGCAGCGAATGGTAAAAGCTACACATCTGTGTACGTAACTATAGATCAGAAGGTAGAGTATCTATTAGCGGTAAGCCACTTGATACTAATTCTGAATTTCTGAATGCACACTTAGTATTTGGCCATCCCCGTTCTGAGCACCAAATGGTTCAACATGAATGCCAAATAGGACTGGTTTGGTTACCTTTAAGTCGCCTAACTCTTCCTGACAGAAGTACGTGAATTTCAGTCAGTAGATCTATAGTTGACACTAATTAATCCCTCTCAACTCATCATTTTAAATAGAAGGTAGGCTTTCTGTGTTAAAATTCTTAATTTATTTGTACCCTATACTTAAATGGTTCTTATGATTATCCCTTATTTCCTTTCTTGAAATAAATTGTTATGAAAAAAATTTTATAATGCAATTCATCTTGGTTAACTAGAAAGAAAAAAACTGCAAGGTATTTATTGTTCTGTTTACCATAATTTAGAACTCACATTAAACTAGTGTTTTGTAGTTTTACATTCCTTTTTAACCCATTCGGTGGAGAATGTCAAATCTTCTCCCGAGCTGTATGTTAAATCAATCCTGATATGTACTCAACATCAAAGATAAACATGTAATAAACATGGAAATAAAATTCAGCTCTGGTAGTGAAATGTTAAATTTGATTGTGTGCTTCAAATAATACCATCTCTAGACCTCCTTCTCCAAACAGAGAGAGGAGAGTGTCAAAGGTGATTCCTGCTTCCTGCCTTGTGAGGTTGTGCAGTTAGCAGTGCCTCTTACTAAGTGAGAAACACAAGGCGGACTTCAAATGTAGGGGACAGGAACACAATCCACTGTTAAGGTTTGTAATGCTTGCCGAGAGGCAGTGAAATGTGGATAGTAATTGGAGATACAGGCTTTGGGGACCCACATGCATCCAGCTGTCTTTATAGGTAGTCACTGGAGGCACAGGGGAGACTTTCCTAGGAGAGTAAAACAGACCAGCCCGCAGGTTTAACCCTAATTCAGCACACTATGATTTTGTAAATGATTGTATTGAAACACACCCACACCCATTCTTTTAGTAGGTACAACACAAAGTCTGCAAAGCCTCAAATAATTTACCTTGTTGCTCCTCACAGAAAAACATTCCAGTCTGTAACAAAGAAGAGTCCAGACTTGGTGATGCACACCTGTGATCCGATCAACGCAGGTGGCTGAACCAGGAAGGGCTTAAGATGAAGCCAGTCTGGGAAGTCCTGTCTCAAAATAAAAAGGGCTGGGGATATAGCTCAGCACTCACTGAGTTCATTTCCCAGTATTGCACACACAAAAAACCACAAATCATTAGCAGTTCTTGATAGGTAAGTGACGTGAGCAGGTAAAAGTCCTAGGAAGTGTGTGCTCCACCCCTGGCCTATGCTGATGCCTTTCAGGCCATGTGCCGGGGCCAGGAGGACCTGAAAACCGTACCCTCTGCCCCCCATCCCTGGGTTCTCCACAGCACAGGACGACAGTTGACAGTCAACAGACCAAACTCAAAGAAGGAGTGCCCAAAGTGCCCAGGAGGAGAGTGAAACTCTGGCACTGCTGCCAATAGCCAGAAGGAATCAGTGGTCAGAATTACTGTAGTTCAACATGGGGCAAGTGCCTAATTATCTTAACTAAAATTCAGAGTCCTCTGGTTGAGTAAAGGGCTATTACAAGATTGGTCCCTAGGATTTGTCAGTACCCAGTTGACATTTGATGCCATTGGTGTTTATGAATTGGCTACCATAGACAAAAATAATGCAGTTGCCAGCAGTTGGTTTTCTCTCTAGGCCAGTAATAGGATTACCTGAGAGATCACAAACAATGCTGAGGCTCATTCACAAAGAATGGGACACTGGGCCAAAGAATCTACAAACTCTGTCATATAAAAAGCCAAAAACATGAAAAGGCAACAAAATGCCTCAAAAAACTTGAAATTTCCCAAAAATGGTTACAGAGGGTACAAAGGGGGGAAATGTAAGTACACAGGAAATAATAAGACAGCCTGCTAATGGGAGAAAGACAGTTCTATAAGATGCTTTGACCTTTCTGAAATTCTTATAGACTTCGGGAGCTAATCTGTTAGAGTTGGTTTGGTGCATGTATGTCTGTAATTGTTATCTCTTCCTGTTGAGTAATCCTGGGATCAATCATTGAAAAGATCAGCTACAGCATGACCTTTCATCCCAGGGACACGAGGATGGCCCAGCACATGCAAATCAATAAATGAAACTCCTACATAAACAGAAGCAAGGACAAAATCACATGATCATCCCAATAGATGCAGAAGAAGCCTTTGGCAGAATTCAGCATCCATTCATGATTAAAGAAAACTGAGCAAAGTAGCTATAGAAAGCCTCTATCTCAACATGGTAAAAGCCTCTTATGACCAACCTACTGCTGACATCATATTAAATGGGAAAGAGCTGAAAGCCTTTCCTCCAAAACCAGGAATAAGCCAAAGATGTCCACTATCACCAGTCATGCAATATAGTCCTCAAAACAGAGAAGTTGGGCAAGAGAGAGAAATAAAAAGGCATGTGTATAAGAAACAATAAAGTTGAAATAACTTGCAAATGACAACATTCTTACAACACACACACACCAAAAAAAAAAAATGTCAAAAGATTCCCAGGATTCATAACTTATCAGTGTAACAGGATACAAAATAAATATTAAAATGTGAGTAGCATTCCTATACACTGATAACTCACCGAAAGAGCAGTTAGGAAGACAATACCATTCATCGGAAAAGTTAAATAGGCATTAACCTAACTAAAGTGACAGACCTCTCCAGTGAGTACATCAGACTGAAAAAGGAGATTGAGGAGGAAATCATTGGGTAGGTAGAACTAACAATCCAAATGGCTATACTTCCAAAACGCATATACAGCAATTCTAATATACAGGAGAATAACTCATTTGGTTATGCAAATGTTTTTATTTCTTCATAAAAGAAAAAAAATGAGTGGCCAAAGGATACTGAGGACCAGCAGCTAACTAGGTTAACAGAAAGCCAAGAGAAGTGAAGTAATAAAAGCTGCAGGAGGAGTGTCTCAGCTCAGGTGTTGAATGTTACTGAGATCATAAAGAACTTGAAAATAGTGGCTGGGTGTCATCGCCTGGAAAACACTGCTTTTTTTTAAGACAGGGTCTTGCAATGCAGTACACACACACACACACACACACACACACACTTGAAAATAGTGGCTGGGTGTCATCACCTGGAAAACACTGCTTTTTTTTAAGACAGGGTCTTGCAATGCAGTACACACACACACACGCACACACACGCACACACACACACACACACGCACACACACACACACCCCGCCTCAGCCTCCCAAGTGCTGAGCTTACAGGCACGCACCACTATGCCTGGCAGACTGGTACCTTTGAGACATTCCTTGAAGACAGCAGAGGCACAGGTGTGTCAGAAAACGCTCCCTCGCACAGCTGAGCCCAATGTGACTTTTATCACCAAGAAGGATCCAGGAAGAGGGCAGAGTTGAAGATAAAAGCAAAACGGGGTACTGGATGTGTGAAGGTTTGGCTGCAGAGGAAGTGGAGAGGGCGAGGATGCAAAGCGCTGCTGGCCTTGAATGGGAGGAGGTGCTTTTATGCCAGAAGCAAGGCAACCCTGGAGGCTGCAGACACACGGGTTTCCTTGAAGGCAGAGACTGGTCCCACTCCAGGGTGGTTTGCATTGATAGATGTTCATCCAGAGAAACGAGATATCGTTCTTGGGGACAAGAATATTCATCTAAAAACAACCTTCCTGATCTCCCGTACTTTTAATTGTGTAGTTTACTCCTGAGCTGTCTTTGCTTCGACATAAACCAGGGAATGTGTTGTGTAGGGATTAATTACCGCACTTCCGAGCTGTCCCGGTGAACTGGCTACCGCTTTCATTCTTACCAAGTTCCTAAATAGCCGGAAGGCTTCTCCCAGACTTCTGGTACAAGAATATGAAAAATCATATTCTTCCTCCAAAAAACATTCTTGCCCTCTCAGAAAAATTAGTAGCCATGATCCCCTAGATGCAGCCAGCTGATCCCGGTCCTGTTAGGCTTCACCTCCCAGTCACCCATCCGGCAGGCCGGCCTGGCTGCTAATGAATGAACCTTGTTAATGTCTTACCTGAGGCCTCCCCTGACCCCGCTACTGCTAACAATCTATTCCCCGAGGATCCTGGTCTTCTATGCCGTTCTTGGACTGTGATGGCTGTCCGCCTCTCCCCTGGCTTGCCACAGGCCTGCCTCTTGGGTGTTGGTGCACCCTGCTTACCCCCGCCTTTTTCCTGGCTAATGTCAGCCCATCACATTCAGCCACCAGCTGCCTGCTGCAGCCTGGGTGTCTGTGTCACTACCTCAGACCTCCAAGCACCCTACTTATCTGCTAAGTGTTCACCCAGCCACCCAAGTGAAACGCCCCACATGTTTAATCAGCTACATACTCCTGTTGTTTTACCTAGTGAAAAACATTACAATCTGTGTTTTCTCTCCAACTGCTGTCTCAGCCTCTCATCTCTTCGTGAAATAATACAAAAACTATCTAGTTTTCCAGTCTTTCATTCAGCATCCTTCCCCTCTGCTACCAGAACAGTCTACCAGGATATAATAGCATCTGTCCCCTGCATGAAGCATCCATCCCCCTCAGCCTGAAAAATGCCCAGAGCCCAGTCTGCCCTCAGGACCCAGGGCCCTTGGTGGTCTGGCCCATGCTGCACACGTAGCTCTATGCCTGGCCTTTGGCTTTCTTTGCCAGCAACACAGATCTTGCATACACACATGCGCACAGAATGCCCGAAACCCTTTGTGGGTGACAGTACCTCCTAGGAACCTTCAACAACTCACCAACTGTCATCTCCACTGCCATTCCCATGGCCTCAGTTGGTACTGAGTTCCCTTCTACGATAGCACTTCAATTCATAGGTCTGTGTCCTATATTGATTTTAGCTAAGGTATAAATAAGTTTATTTGGCTAAAGTTACCTAATATGTAGTTGTAGCTTACAAGTTAAGTCTTAATCCTCTGAGCATTTGAGTACCAGGGACCTCTGCCCATACACAATTCACAGGCACTAAAATGAGGTCGGACCACAGGCTCTGCATGCAGGTATCTTCCTGGGGAACTGCCAGGCACACATGGGAACTTAGGGCTCTTTCTAGCAAAAAGTTCTTACTTTCTCCTGACTTCTAGTGGCACATTTAAGAATTTTAAGATAATAGTCACCTTAACTTTGCTTTCTGGAGAAAGGTAAAATAATTTAATTCAACTCTCAAAGGTTCTGCAGTTTTCACTGATGTAGATACCAAAATTAGTGGCTATTGGAAATGCTTTTACTTATGGAGGAAGAATCAAGTTTAGGACATGAAATTCAGAAACCTGATCATGGGGCTGGGAATTTAGCTCAGCAGCATAAGCGCCTATCTTGCAAGTAGGCAGTCTCAAGTTCGATCCCCGGTACAGATTAAAAAAAAAAAGAAACCTGATCATACATTATGGGAAGATTAATAAGACATTAATAAGACATTAGGAAACTAATAAGAAAACTTTACAGAATTTTTTTCCTTGCTTTCAGAACGAGAAATACTGTTTCTAGAAGTATAAGCAGGCTGGGGAATTCTGTCCAACCTCCCACTGAAAACATGTTGATAGCTGACTGGTTTGCTTGCTTTCTCTTTCTCTTTCTTAAAATGGAAAATGCTAAACAAGTCAGTAGGGAATTAGCAGGTCAGAATCCAACTGAACATGGAATCCTGAGAGTTAAGTGGAAAGATGCCTTTGCTCAGGGATGTTTACTAAACCTGGGGACTAGGGGCTTCCATTTTTTCAGGATGTGATTGGACAGGCTGAACAGAAAGACCTCCCAAAAGGCTACTGTGTAGGATGGGGATGAACCAGTTGTAAGACTTTCTGCCCCTGTAGGACTGTAAGGTAAGTTACTTTAGATCTGGGCAGAGCAAGTTAAGAAAAAAATCTAAGAAGCCAGTACTACAAACTGGCCCGTGCTCTCCAAATCCACACTCCCTACACATTACACCAGCATCAAACTGTGAAGTTAAACTGGAGAGCAGAGTTCCCTAGATACCTGACTGAAGCAGCAGACAGGATGCCTCCATCACAAACCTCAAAGGAGTCCCCAGATTGTCTAAGGGATGTGAACCGCTCACAAAGTAATCACAGGACCTTCACCGTGCATGACAGTAGCTGGTAAAATGGGTTCAGATACTCAGATACTGAAAGTATTTTAATTACTTTTTTAAAAGACTTGCAAACCCCTGCAGAGAATAGAAAAATTTATAAATGATAACAGATTGGAAAAAATTAATAGGATGTAATGGAAATAAAAGAGTAACCAAGACAGATCGAAAGGGGTTATTCCAAAGGTGGTACAAAGCAAAAGCAAAACAAGGGAAAGCCTAGCACTATGAAAGGGTGGGGAGAAGATGCCAGAGAAAGGATACAGGGTATTTCAAGAGATACGGACTCAGGGTTTGCGTGGACTGATAAGAAGCAACTATCCAAAGGTCAAAGCTCAGTCATCCCAAGCAAGATGATGTAACACCTGCGTTACAGCGAAACCGCAAGTCGGGAATAATACTGTGAAGTCAGTGAAAAATAGACTTCATTCTAAAGAGTCTGCGGGTTCTCTCAACACAACGGTGGAAGCTGGAAGACAATGCAATGGCAGGAAAGGAAATAATTGCCAAATAATCCTATTCCCACTAAAATTGTCTTTCAAGAGTGAGAATAAAAAGGTGTTCAGACCCCCAAACTGAAAATCCCATCGCTGGAGAAAATTCTAAGGGCAGCAGGACGACAGCAAAAGCGGCACACAGGTGAGAGAGCAGATGTTGGCCGTGAGAAACAATAGTAACAATATCTTCAGGATTTAAATTAAACACCATGTACACAAGTGTAGTACAGTATAAACCAGAGCGGGGTAAACAGAGCTAAAAGGGCGAAGAGCCTTGAACTGAGCAGTTACAGTCATTGATGAGGTTTAAACCCACTTTCTTTTAACTACTAGAAATGAAGTATGTTACTTTCAAAATACCGGGAAAAGATGAGATGCTCCAGTGTTTTCAAAGGAAACGAATGGGAGAAAACCAGGTGAAACAAATAGCCAAAACAGATCAGTCGTAAATTCTGTACACATAACGTGAATAACTTATTCTGCAACACACAAAATTAAAAGACAAAAATGTTTATATTTATCTGCTCCCGACAAGAGTCACGTCTGAAACACAGGTAGCAGAAAAGTGGAAAGAAAATGTTCGTCGAGCAGCATTTTGCTGACAGTGGTTACCCCGAGATGTCCCTTTCGGTCCAACGACTTGTTTGCCTCGGCTTCTGACATCACTGGGCTCCAGAACAGCTTGTCAACCAAGCAGGGTGCTTGGAGGGAACAGAGCAGTCCAGCACCAGGCCGAAGCTCTATTTGCCGGGCTTTGGGGATAGTCACTGCCTCCGGCAAAGAGCTCTCCCTCTCTCTGTCCCCCTCTCTCCCTCTCCCCTCCACCTATGATGATGCACAGGAAGTCACATTAGAAATGTCAAGAGACAGCCGAGCACAAGCAGAGGTGCATTCTGAGAAATAGTGCCTCTGCTGATTATTTCCCAGATCCTGTGGCCTCCAATTTTTTACATTTTTCACATCCGTTTGCTGTTTCCTCAGGGTTCAGGTACCTTATCTCCTGTATCAGTAGGTTGAGGTGGGAAGGAGAGGATTGGATTTCCTGTGGGGTTTCCTGAACCACATTCATTTACTCCTGAAAATCTGACACACGCCAGGACAGGACAGTGGAAAGAGCCTGTGTAGTCTGGCTAAACCACCAGAGAACTGTTAAAACACCTCCCATCTCTGGCTGAGAAACACCCTCTGTGTAAACCATTTCCCAGATACAGCTGCGGACTCTGCCCCAAGTGCCTCATAAGCCCTGTCACCTCCAATCTAAGGCTGTGTTAGTGACGTTCCTCGCCTGCTGCCAGAGCACGGCCTGGCAAAAGAGGGCCAAGAACGGTTCTGTGAGGTTCAGAAGACTGCCGTCACCACAGCCTGCCAAGGAGGAGCTCGCCAGATCCCTCCGATGTGGAGCCAAGAGAGAATGGCTTGTGCGGGTGAGTTAACCGAGCCAAACACAGCCTTCCCGCAGCCTTCATGAGTAACTCAGGTTAGGCCTCTGGACAGATCTCTGTCAGTGACTTCCACGCACAAAAAAGCTCCAGGAATATACTTCTCTGTGTTGTCTAGATTAGGGAAAATGTGCAAGTACTGCTTTTATTATCAAGAATTGATGGCAAGCAGTTAAAGAAACTCACAAGTACTGGTTCATGAGTCACAGGGCAGAGTATCCAGGACTCCCTGGAGAAGGAGGCGTTTTTCCAGTTGTTGGAGGTGGCTGAGAGCTTTCTGCTATTAAAGGCCACTGGCACACTGCAAAACCAAGGGCCATAAATCTAGAAGGCCACTGAATTCAGCATGGTGTGGGTGTGTGTGTGTGTGTGTATGCGCGTGTGTGTGCGCAGAAGGAGATAAACCACTGCTCTCCCTCTAGGCTGATTTTAAAACTAAGAATCAAACAAAATAATCTATGCATGCACCTCAATCATTTTTTTAAAAAAGCGTACTTCAGGCCCATATTAAACTCAAGAAAACTTTAAATTCACATCGCCCAAAACCTCATCCGCCAGAGACTGAACCAGGACATGACCCTCATCACTGAGCTGACTCACTAAATCCCTTTTTTTATTTTTATGGGCTTTTTTTTTTCAGTTTGAGACAAGGTCTTGCTGTGTGGTGCAGGTGGCCTTGAACTTTCTATGTAGTCCATACTGGCCTCGAACTCACAATGATCATCCTGCCTCGGCCTCCCAAGTGCTGGAATTATAAGCACGCACCACCACACCTGGTTTAAATCTTGATAGGCAAGAATTTTAACTCACTGGGTAAAACTCTCTTTGGCAAGTCCTTCTCTGTTTCTGCCGCTGTGTAACATGCTCCAGAAGGACGAGAGAAACACCTGGCCTGTGGTAGAGAAGCCTATCCCCGGTTAAATGAAGTCTCACAGTCCAAAGCTCTCCTACCTCACAGCCCCTTCCATCCCATCCCAGCCACACTTCATTCGCCATCCATTTCTGCTCCACCCACTCCAGGCGCTCACTGACCAAGCCAAAAGCTGGCGCTTATTCTTGAGGCAGTAAAAAAATGATCCATGGCAACTGGTCAACCATTCAAATAGCCCTCGGTCATCTGCATCCTGTGGAGAATTTCAGACTACACTTCCATCTGTTTTTCCCAGAGAATGTCAAATTAAATCACTGCCCCTACACTTCCAAAGCCACTACAAGCAGTGGACGGCTCTGTGGGGATCTAATTGCTCCAAAGGCCTGCACTTCGGTGCAGCCAGAACCCTCCAGACAAGGTCTCGGGTCCTCCAGACCTTCCTGTGTGTCTGGTTTTGGTTTTTCCTTTTTCCCTGTGTTTCTTGCCCACACCCTCAGTAAGGAAAACATGCTACCCTCCAAGGTAGTACACACACACACACACACACACACACACACACACACACACGCTACTGAGCTCTTTACTTTTACTGACAGTGCTGCATCTGTTCTGTGGGGCTGTGTTCCAATTTATTCTATGTTGCTGTTTTGATGCTGGTTTTAGCCCACAGAACTGGCTTCTTGAATTACTAATGGTTGTAAAAACCCTGACCCACACTGACCCAGGACAGCATCCCCTACCTCGGTCTGTCACCAGGTCATAGCTCTCCAGGAAGCCCAGACTCAAGAGGACTCCTAAGCCAAAGTTAGAGGCGAGCAAACACACTGACTGCTTGCTAGCTAGGTAAAGGAAGACAGGAGAGGAAGGGAATTACCACTTTGCTTATCAACTGGGTGACAGTCCAGAGATAATCCCTTCAGCGCCTCCCTGAAGTCGAAGTCCTCCCTTCAACAACTCTGGCAGACGCCCTTCCTACCCTGCAGGTGAGAAAAAGCAAACCAGATGAGCACAGACATAAAACAGCCTGCAGCCATGCAAGGAGCAGAGGGCGCTTTCCAGCTACCGGATCACAGCCTCCTGCCCGGGAGAGAATGAGTCCTTCCTCTTCCCCTCGGCCCTGGCCTCCCGGCTGGCCCCCTTAAACACCTCACTCCAGACCTGGGTTTCTAGTCACTCCCTCCAGCAAGGCGTCTCTTTCCTTCTTAGTTTCCTTTTTCATTCTAGGCAGGCGGCAAGCCTACTGGTTGGTGCCACTCACACCCAGGGTGGGTTTTGTGTCTGCGGTAAATGCCTGCAGCCACGCCCAAGAAACATGCTGGTCACTCTCCATGTGCAGTCAGCACTTGGAGTCTGCACTCGGGGAGCAGTGCATGTAAGCCCAGGGCGGGCAGTGGATGTGCGTCTGCAGCTCCCCTGAGCTCAGCACTCTGGTGCTTGCATCGGGCTCCACAGTTCCCTTCCCTGCAGCCTCAGCTGACCCGGCCCCGGGAGACTGCCTAGCGAGAGCTTTTCCAGTTATTTTTAGTTCCTTCAGCCGAGGTCCTGCACTCTCACAGAGTGTTACAAATCAGCCAAGAGTTCTTTTGCTTACTTCAGACAAAAATCACAAAATTATCATTCCACACAACTGGCTCTGGGGAGGGCTCCCAAAGGGGAGGTGGAGACCCAACTTGTCTCCTCCACAGGGCAGGAGACAAAAAAGGGGCTTCAGGACACATCAGGGAGAGCCACAGGCAACCAGATTTCCTTGACAGGCTTAGATAGTCGGCTCGCTGTACGGACATCTGTATGCCCGTGCTAATCGAAGCACAGTTGACAATACCCACCCACAGCATGGAATCAGCCTAGGTGCCCATCGACGGATGAAGAGATAGAGAAAATGTGGTGTACACACACAGGGGAGTATTTTTCAGTAATTAAAAAGAGGAAAATATTATCATTTGCATATACATGAGTGGACCTAGAGATCATCATGCTGAGTGATAAGCCAGACTCAGAAAGGCGAGGATCACATGTTCTCCCTGATATGCAGACTCTAAAAGATCGCAGGTTTTATAGTTAGTCAAGAAAGAGAAAGGGAATAAACTGGAATGACGGGTGTAAGACTAGGTAATGGGAGGGGGGTGAATATGGTCAAAATATATTATGCATTGCACACGGAAAGCCTAAAAAATGCAGAGCTAAAGGGTGGGGGGCAAAGGGACAATAGGAAGGGAAATTATTAAAATATGTCTATATTCATGTATAAACCTGCCAGAGAGGGATCCATTAATCTGTACACTCAATGTGCACTAATTAAAAATGTAGGGGAGAAAAGAAAAACCAGACAGAGAGTTAGCTTGAATTGCGGAAAGAGGCACAGCTCTAGTAATCAGACTGAGCCCTGAACGAGAGAACAGGGCCCGCTTTTCTGGGGGAGGGGCTGGCAGCTTCCAGGGGACCATGAGCTCAGCCCCATGCTTTCTGCCGGGGATGGGGCAGCGCTGTTTTCACTGATGGGGACACCCTGGTGGCGCCTCTATCCTGGGATGACATGCATTGAGAGCAGCGAGCAGCGATAAAATACCTTCAGAAGCAGAGTTGGTGGCCAACCCACTTTCAGGGCCCCCTTCTGTCTCCCTCAGACAGAAGCTTTCTTTCTCTTGGTAGATTCTTCCAAATCAAAAAACAAAAAAAAAAAGTAGGGAGCACAGCAAGGTGCTTGCCACACCCTGTTCGTAAGGAAAGATAGAGAGAAAATGCCAATTTTCAGTGTGTCGTGGATCAAGGCCTGAGACTCTGTCTCCTGTTTTCCGGGGCCACCTGTCCTGCTTCATTTGGAGCTGGGCAGCTGGTGGCCTGCAGCTTTGGGGCAAGGGCTGAGAATGAGAAATCCTGTGGGCAGAACTTCCCAGGTGGGGAAAAAGCTCCTTCTTCCACTGCAGATGGGGAAAGAAGAGACCAAAGAAGCTAATGAGGGACCCGAGAGGTCCTTAGCCAGGGTGCAGCCACCCGGACGGTCCTGAAGAGCCAGGCTGGCCTCTTCTCCCTGACCCTGCTCCCAAACTTGGCCAAAGGCTCTCAGATATACGAGCACCACAGGACCCAGGGAAGGACTGGCTGAGGCCACCTCACCCGCCCCACGCCATGCTAAAGGGGACTGCCTGGCGGACATCAGCAAATCCCTGGCGTTGGAACACATTCCACACAGCAGCATGCTCCAAGCCATGGAACTCTCAGCTCTCAGTCAGCATGCACCCTGACCCAACCTCACTTTTAAAGCATTTTCGGTATGGATAAGTTTAAGACTATGTAGAAAAAATATGTAAATTGTAGGAGATAACTCCGGTGACTTCCCTTGAATACAAAATAATTACTGTGACTTTGATTATTTGGAGACTCATTTCCTTATACTGGTATGTAAAGAGCTGGCTATGGTATTTCCTTCTCTCTTCAGTTGGCTCTAAGCATTGCAAATAAGGCTAGCTGGGGTGCTAATGTGCAATCTCTATAGCCAACAGACAGTCCTGTTTCCTTGCATAGTGTTCTCCATACAGGATATATACAGGATATAAGACAGGAGATGTTAGAGCCAACAGCTCCAGGAACATCAAATGGGTACCTCAAGATAAGAGGCTATAACTCCCCAGGGCATAGGAGTTTGCATATCAAAAACCAAAGCAACAGCCTCCCGGAAACAATTCCATTGCTACCTTAATTAGGTTAAGTGAGTTGATCCTTCTGCATATCTTTATCTCTGCAGTTTACGAAAAGGCCATTCTTGCACCTGGCCAGCCAGCTCAAGTTATTCACTAATTCCCGCCACCCTCACTGTCACTCGTCCCTGAGCCACCCTCCTTCTTCACAAGATAATAAATTCTGGCAGAGGCCTAGGATCAAGGCCTCTGTCCGCTTGTCCTCACGAGGATTGGATTTAGGACCATGGCGAAACAATCAAGAAACTCTAGATTATATGAAAGTCTCCTGCACAAAGAAAAGAGTTCAATCAACAGAATAAACACAGTGAAAGAGGAAAAAGGGAAACAGGTGTGAAAAACACCATAAATTCAATAGCTGGAAAATACCAAGTCATTGTAAGTTACGGTTTTACTTGGATGCTGATTCCAGTAAGCTTCCAAAATTATTTGAAAATTAAAGAAATTTGCACAGTAGTTGGATACTTGCTTAGCCCAAATTGGCCTGGAACTTGCAGTGATCCTCCTGCCTCAGCTCCTCAAGTACTTGGGATTACAGGCATGCGCCACCACTCCTGGTCTAATTTTGCTTTACAATCAGGTAAAATATTTACACGATCTCGAAGTCGAATTTACCAAACAGAGTATATTCAAAGAACTGCGGCTGCTTTGCCCACCCCTCTGCTCTGTCCTCTCCTCTTCCTCCTTCTCCAGGCATCACCATGTTTCAAATATGATTGTTTATTCCTGCATTGTTATGTTGGATCATTAATACAAGCAGTGTTTATATCTTTCGGCATTCAGGAAGGCTTGCATTTGTATTTTAATCATTAATTTTATTCTGTTTACTTACTGCTTTTAGAACTTTATTTTTTTTTACTACATGTATTGGGTTCTACCATGAGTGATACCGAAATTAACCAGCAACCGATTCCTCTCCTATTTTCTTTTCCTTCAGCAACTAATATGAGTAACATCCTGTCTCAAGTTTGTACTGAAAAGACAGTGAGTGAGAGCAATCTGTGTTCTCCCCCATTTGGCAGGGAGAGTGAAACAAGGTCTGGACTCACTGTCAGTTCGAGGTGGCCATGAACTCACTATGTAGCCCAGGCTGGCCTCAGACTCTCGGAGATCCTCCTGCCTCAGCCCCCCAAGAGCTGGGATTGCAGGCATTTACCAGCACATCCGGTTTCCCCTAGTTTTTGATAATTGCACCCCCTGTCGTAACAAGCAGGCTTCACACACCACACTTACACTCCTGCCGTTGTGATCTGCTGTACTTTAGTTCTACAGATAAACTAACACTCACTCACCACGAGGCTCTGTGTCTCTACAGTCATTTCATTGGCTAAAAGACGTTCATTATTTTAGCTTGTTTTAAAATATTAGGTGACAGTTTTCATCTTTTCCAGCTTGTTTCACTATCTGAAAAATGTTATTCCCTTTCTTATTACATTTTTTCTAACAAAAATAGTATAAGAACTTTGACCGTGATCTTTTTTCTGTTGGTCACATCTAAGTAAAATACACTTTCCTTGTATTTGTTTTTCAAAGAACAGATGGCCAAAGCGCTTTTCCAGCTTCGCCATTTACAGTTCCCTCTGCCTTGCAGTTTCATGATGAGAGCGATACCCTCAATACTTTCTAAACCACAATCCTGTGCACCCCGTTTCTCCGCACTGCCTCTTCCCTTGGTCCTGGGCCCCTTCTGCTCAGTTTGACTCCCAGCACTGCTCCCTCAGCGCAGCGGGAAGGTTTAGGAGCAGGAGCACATGCAGAAGAGCTGGGGCCCAGCTCCTAAAGCCTGGCTGGTTTACTATCCAGCCCGTGGGAAAGTTTACCGAGCCGGTCCCAGCCACCCTCCCTGGAAAGATCCTTTTCCGTGGGATCTGGATGGTGCTGTCAATGTCACCTGATGATCTACAAGCAGATGATGTATTAAGGGGCAATAAGGGCAGCTTTTCCTACAATTAAAATACAGTCTTCCTACTGGGGTTGCTTAGGCATGGGGTCATCGTGCCCTTAGCCAATGGACAGAGTCTCTCTGCAGTGGGACAAAGGAGCTGGCATGATCAATGGACCCTCAGCCCTGGCTCATGCATGTCCTGCATGAGGCCAGGAGTTCATCTTTCACTTGAGCTTGCTTGAGGTGGATTCTGATACTGCAACCCTGAAAATCAGGGTGACACACCTGTGAACATGAAAATCACATACACTTTATAACCTTTGAACGATGCAGCCCTGTCTCACACGATTCCCTAGTAGGACTGTTTTATTAATCTCTAAGAAGATAGACTAAGGAAATAAAAATAGTCAGCGATGTAAGAGAATTTACTTTGCCTCTGAACAAGAGAATGTTTTCGCTAAAACATTTTTTAATCAGTTCTAAATTTTTATAAAGCAAAGCAGTTTAACGTGTGGTTGACAAGTAAAAGGAAAGGAAGCTATTGGGTTAGTGCTAATAAAGGCATTATGTTGTTACAGGTCAGGGCTGGTAGAGTTTGAGTAAAAAGAGTATAAATTACTGTGGGCATGGGGTGGAGTCAGTCAGAATCACCCATGGATTATATTAAAAAAAAAAAACAGAATTTGAATGGCCCTAAGTTGCTGCTGGCCCTAATAAATGTAAATGCTTGAGAACCACTATTCTAAAATATGTACCTTAACCTTTCAAAAGTTACATGTATTTCATATTTTGCTGACCTTCGGACATTTTTCAAAGAACAAGCCTGGGTATCCTTATTCTGCTGTTTCTAAATATACACACCGAAGCCATCACCAGGTTTGACCAAAGCTACAAAAAAAATTTTTCAACTGATAACACCTAGGGATTTGGAGAAATTGTGTAGCTCTTTTATCCCAAGGTCAGATCCAAAACAAAATGAACAATGACCCGTGTACCAGAAAGGACAGAAGCAAATGTTTCTGGTTCCCTAAAGTGATTTATAATCATATTGGAGAATCTTTATCTTAAATAAGAAAGTGATCAGAAATCTGACGCAGATAAATAGTTTAGCGTTGGCTTTAATTAGCTCCTGACGTGATTCTCTGAGTAACAGAACCACTCAGGTGTAGGAAGCTCCGAGGACGCCAGCCTGTCAGGCGCTGACCTCAGCCTAGTCTCCTTCCACATGAGGACAGCAGAAAGGGCTACCAAATGCTCTCTGAGTCCACAAGGGGACAACGAGGGGCCCAGGAGGGCCTGAAACTCATCTCGTATGCTCTGGGAAGTGCATAGACGAGCTGTGGGGACTCAACTGGATGCGGGTTCCACCGAGCAGGAGCACTCCTTGGGCCAAGTGGGAAGGACCCCCACTGTCAGTGATTTAATCTGTGGTCACCTGCACGGGGTTCTGTGGTCACCTGACTGCTGGGAGACAGAGATGGCCAGGAAGGGGCATACCCTAGCGTCTTATCTGCTCATGGCTTTTTACAAGAAAATGATTTTCTATCAATTTTTTAACAGCTCTAAAATCAAAGAGGAGCCAGTTCTTGATGGGTGAGGGAGGGAACCCAAAGCTTGGCTGTCATCCTGTGTTTTGCTTAATTTATTCCAGAACACTGCACATACTTGTCTCTGATTTGACCTCCAGTGGACTGAACTTGGCTACTTCCCCAGCACCTCTAGAATCTGGCAAAAAATCAGAACTTGCATCATAAATTAGGAAAATAATTATTTGAATAACCCTTGCTGGTTTCCCCAAACATTCAGTTCCCTACAACTTCCTAGATGCTCAGGTGACTTATACCAAAAGTTTTCACATGCATTTCCTATCTTAACCTGGTCTAGAAAGAGAACCTCCTTGGTTAGATTAGAGCAGTAACAGCCACCGTTACAAACACCATCCCATGTCCCCTCACACAGACCCTGGGGGGAATGCAGTGCACACACCGTGGTCCTCATTCTGCACACGAACAGCCTGCGATGCAAAAGCTAAGGTAGCAATGGAGGGGGCAGGCAACTTGGAAGTCTAGTCCTTGAGCTATGGCTCAATTCAAGGATGTGTACACTGATATTCAGGAAGGTTACATCACCTTCCCACATTATCCCATGTTATTCTAGGTAGTTAAAGACCCCGAGGTTGACTGGCTAAGTAACATAGGGAGCCAGAGGCACCTGTGTCTGGAGTACTAGTAGGAGTCTGACCCTGAGTTGCTGGAGGAGTTTCCAGAGCTGTTCCAAGGAGCAGAATGGCTCTGTCCTGTTCCTGAGCTCATAACAACAGAGTGGGCAATGGATTGCACCTAACAGATCTGATACCTACAGCCATTAGTAGGTGCCTCAGAAATGGAGGAAGAGTCATGCAGAAATGCCCAAGGGTGCAGTAAAAGGTTGTATGAGACTCTAATGCCAAGTGTGGTGGCACACACCTGTAACCCCGGCACTCTGGGAAGAGGAGGCAGGAGGACGGCACTTCACACTCAGACTGGGAAATCTAACAAATTAGTAAGACTGTAACGAAAAAATAAAAAGGACTGAGGAGATAGCTCAGTGCAAAAGGCCCAGATTAAACTCTCAGTGAGAGAGAGACAGACAGACAGAGACAGACAGAAACAGGGAGGTACAGAGAGACCAACCCAAGCCACACGGGGGCTTGGGAAACATCTCAGGGCCCTTCCAACCCTACGATTTCTGAGTCAGTCCCTGGCAAAGAGGAAAGGAAGAGGCTTTGAAAGCAGAAGTGGGATTCACTGAGGAAGCTGTTTACATTTTCCTCTAGAAGGTGAGTGAAGGACAAATTTTCTTTTCTGAGAGCAAATAGGGAAAGTGGAGGGAAATGGTGTAAGCTTTCATACAATCGGAGATATCGAGACCAGAGAATGACGGAGAACAAGCGAGGAGAGAAGAAGAGGATGTCTGAGTGACTTTTCTCATTACTGAGACAAAACACCTGATACCCAAACTTAAAGGGGAGAGGTTTGTTTAGCTCACAGTTTGTAGAGGTTCCGTCCATAATCAGCTGGCTCCAAGGCAGGGTGACAGGGCACAGGGGCAACACTTCAAGGCAGCAGGCAGCAAAAGCAGCCAGAATAAAAAGGGGGAAGAAGCCTCTAGGATTAAGGGTGTCAGTGCTACACATGCCCTAGGGCGGGAAGCCTGAATACAATGCGACAGAAAGCGGCTTGTTTCCCTTACTGCTTTTACTACCTTGTGGGCACCGCGAACTGTTCTCTGAGATGTTCCTCTTCCAAGCCACCCTGCCTTGGAACCAGCCAACTGTGCACTGAAACCTTTATAAACTATGAGCTAAATAAAATTTTCCTGGGCTGGGGATTTAGCTCAGCGGCATAAGTGCCTGCTTTGCAAGCAGGCAGTCATGAGTTCGATCCCTGGTACCAATAAAAAGAGAAAAAGACAAAAAAGAAAAACAAAAACTTTCCTCCTTTAACTTTGGATGTAGGGTATTTTTTCTCTGCAGTGAGAAAAGTAACTAAGACATAATGCAATGACAGGAATAAGCCAGTGCCTCTCAGAAGTAGCTCTCAATGTGAATGGTCTCAAGTCCCCAATCCAAAGACACAAATTGGCAGAATGGATCAAGAAACAAAACCTAACAATATGCAATATACAAGAAACACATTTATCCACAAAGAAATATCTGAATTAAAAATCAAATATTGGAAAATAACATTCCATGAATGGGAACCTGGAAAAACAGGAGCAGCTATCCTATTTTCACGCAAAGTTAATTTCAACTCAAAACTCATTAGAAAAGGCAAAGAAAGCATTACATAATGGTTAAAAGAACAATTCAATGGGAAGAGATAACCATTATAAACATCTACCGTATACACCAATGCT